ATCCTTATTCTACCTAAATGATTCTTGTCCTCAAATACCGATAACCTGTATAAATATGAGGTGGTGAAAGACTCAACACATCTTCTTAGTTGTCACAGGGTAGAAAAAGCTTGCACAGAACACGATCTCCCGCACACAATTTACTTTAATTTGTGAAAGTGCTCTTTACTGAATGGACAAGGTTTAATAATTTGGATTCAACATGTAGAGTATAGTCCGTAAGCTATTGCTTATAAAGATAATTGCAAATTGGACACTAACTACTTATATATTGATTACTTATTATCCCTTTATAGGAGATAAAACATTAAGAAGTATACAATATTGGTGAAGGTGGTATATTTTTGTTAGATAAAACAATCATCCTTTTTTTTTGCATGAGCACTACTACCCATTCGAACACAAATATCTACATATTTTACCACTTAACCATATTTGTTTCGAAATAACCTTCTATCCAGATATCATATGTAGTACACAAATGAAACCAAAACATAAATAATAAAAAAAGCTGCATAAAAGGTCGCATAGAACAATAGATGAAATAAAAGCAACTCTTATTAATCTGATTCTTACACACAAAAATACATAATACAAATATAAATAAAATACATTACGAAATGTCCGCAAATAAAAAACATCTAATACGACAATGAAATAATATAATTATTATAAATAAAAAAAACATTTTTAAAATTACAGAGAATATTAAATTTTGTATGCAAGTGAAAATTCCATTAAATAATAAACTTAAGTCCTTTTGTACCTATATATATCTATCTATACAACCCTAAACATCCATCCTTAGATATAGGCCTCCTCCTCCTTCTTCCATGCCTCTCTATCTTGGGCAATTTGCATCCATTTTGTACCTATATACCTTTTTTATAAAGAAGTATGTGCCTACTAACAGCAAGTAAAGTTAGTAGGACACATTATCTGTTACACACTGTTAATACACATATTCGTCTACATTTTCAATCTTCCTATCGTCAAGAATGATATATACTTTTTCAGCTAACATGACCTTAGTTTTCTCAATATGTTAGTCGTACTATCTCTAAGTCTGTTGTAACTAACATTTCTTGTAACTTCTGTGCTCAAGTACTAATTAGTACAATTTTATCTGACAATCACAATTAATTTAAGTACCGTCCATCGATGTTAATACTTTTTTTTTTGTTCCAATTCTCGTATTTCACAGATTTCACAGATTTTAACTTTAAATGTTTTCCAAGTGCTTTTTATATCGGGGATCTATTCTGATGTTATCTAATGTATGAACTACCCATTGCCCATTGTTTGATGGAATCGCAAGCTTTATTAAAAAATGTCAGCTTAAGTGAAATTTTTGCATTTTTCCGAGTGTGTGATGATCATTTGTACTGTATCCTTTGTGAAATCCCTTTTTGGTATATATCTAATTTGTTGTAATCTTTGTTAATAATTTACATGGGTGTGTTAAAAGACTAATTGGTCGGTTCGTGTTTATTCGATCTCTTGTCTTGTGTCTTGTGCCATGACTATGAATTCGTTAGGCATCTGTTAAGGATTCTTATTGATTCTAGAGTTGTTATCCACCTGTTTTGACCATCTCTGTTCTTATTTCGTCTTGCACGGGCGATTTTTATTGGTCATACGATTAATAGAGTAAAAAAATCGTTCAGTAAAAGGTTGATGCGATGGTCGTTGCGTGCGCACATGTGTGTGCTGTGTTTAAAATGACATTGGTTTAGAATAGTAAAGGCAAATGAAAGTTCGGAAAAACCTGTGCCTAAAAAGTATCACTCCAATAGCTAGATTGAATAAATGTTATTAAATTCCGAATACTTAAAAGTTTTTCCAGCAATAAAGCTAAAGTATAAGAGGGTGAAAGTAAGACGTTTTATTGACAGAATGAAACGACATTCATCTGTATTGCATTTAAAAGGACAATGGTTTAGAATAGCAAAAATGTATTAGGCAGATGAAGTTTCTGAATACCCTGTTGTGAATAAATTCTTAAAAATTCTTGTTAACATTCGAACTGCTTGTTTGATTGGGAGTGTATTACGGAAATTTTAAGTCTATATTGAGCAGTGTACGAGATATATGTGCCTGAGAGAACTGTGTCAACCAGTATTCATTAAAGGTCAATGTACGCCTTTGCCAAGCAGCAGACGTTAAGTGGAATCGCAGGGGTAGCATCTATGTGTTCGTTAGTTCTCTGTCTATATTAATATTCGTTTAAAATCAACTAGTGGGGTCACCTCGTTAAATATCCAACAGCTAGAGACTGATATTTCTTTAAGTTGTCCATTTCTAAGATCCTGTAGCGTGGTTTACCTCTATATATTAATTTAATATTGCCAGGTCAATGATAGTTTTCATTTATTTGTACTATTAATAACTTTCTTTTATAATAGATAATTTTTATTAAAAAAAATATAAATGAGTTGGTACTGCACTGATTTATTTCGCGAATCAAAGCTGCTAACATTTTTTCTATCTCAATATAATTTATCTTGTCACTTATTTTGTCAGCAATCAGAAAAGAATCAGAACGAGGAGTATCTTCTATATTTTAAATTCCTAGCGCTAACCGCATTTTATATTATTATACTCTTTTGAACGCATAACATTATTCGCCCGTGGTGTAGTGAGTAGTACGAAGGTATACTAAATATTTGATCCGGGTTCAAATCCTACCTCGGAAAACTTTTTCTTTAATTTAAAAAATTAATAATTAATTATAAATAATATTGTGAGAATAAATAGTTAATAGAAAATAAAATATTAAATTTAAAATAGAATTAAAAATAAAATATTACAAGTAGAGTCATTGCATATGGTTTCGGTCTCGACTAAAGGTTCGGAACCATGCTAAGTTACACGTTGGTCGGTAATGCAGATCCAATGCTTACCGACATTGGCGCCAGTGACGTCACATTGTCTGTCTGGTTAGAGTGGCCCATACTCTACTAACGAACTACAAAACGTCTGCCCTGGCAATCCTATTGAATTTTTTTTATATACTTTGGCAACTCCATTATTCCCCTTCGCTGCGTTATTTTGTTTCGCCAAACCAAAGCAACATAAGTAGTTATGGGTCTGATATCCGTTTTAAATTGTTCTATTTTTCAGACTCCGTGTTCGGACAAGTCCTGTCCGAACTCGGGAACCCGGAGGCTGGACTGCCACAGGGAGCGGTACTGTCACCTTTGCTGTACACGATATACACAGCAGACATACCTAGAACACCAGGTACATTACTAAGTCTCTATGCCGATGACACAGCGATAGCGGCCAAACATAGAAACGTAGACATAGCGGTCACCAATCTACAAAAACAGCACTAGACGACATAGAAGAATGGAGTCTAAAGTGGAAAATAGCAATAAACTCGGATAAGACGCAAGCTGTACTTTTTAAAAAGGTTCACCAACAACCGGAAGAACAGGTAACTGTGCAAGATAATCCCATCGAATGGAAAAGTGAAGCAAAATACCTCGGAGTAATAATGGAGAAAGGTCTAACTTTAAGCAAACATGTAGAAGCCACCATACAAAAAGCCAACATGGCAAGAGCTACAATAAGAGGCCTAGCAGGAAGGAAAAGCAAAAGCTCCGCATTAAAACTAAAATAAGGCTAATAAACAGTATATTCCTTCCCATACTGACCTACGCGTCACTTGCATGGGGACACACATGCAACTCGACTAAAAAGAAAATACAGGCGATGCACAACAAAAGCCTAAGAGAAGCAGTAAACGTACCAAGATACGTAGCTGAAAGATTCCTCTTCAGAGAATTACAGCAAATCAGAGTGACTGACACTATGAAGGAAAAGGCCAGGACAAAGTTCGTAGAATTAGAGAACCACCCCAGTCACATACTAAGAGAAATAATGAGGTATGACGCTTTCCACAGATGGAAGCACAAAAGACCAAAACAACAGATAGTAGATTAAAATAAAATACCAGGGAGAGAATCAAACCCCCCCCCCCCCCCCGATGGAAACATAACCCCAAAAAACACCAGAACGAGAAGAAATCCCAAAAATCAAAATACAAAACACAAGGAAGATAGTTCGTAGCTCAAAACACCCACCCAGGATACCACATATCGCCAAACACACAGTGGGCCCAGTTGCTCATACAAGGATAGAGTCTGTATTGTGGTATTGTATAATATTAATATATTTTCATTATATATACTAATACTAATTCTGACTATATACTAATTCTGATTTTTGTTCATAGGGCCACCTACAAAAAAAAATCTACAAAAAACACAAAAAACCGGCTTTGGCCACCAAAACAAATTAAAAAAATTACTAACAAAAACCGGCTTCGGCCACCAAAAAAATTAACAAAACCCCCAAAACCCGGGCAAGTAGGGCCCAACCCCTTGAGCACCAAGTCGCCGAACTGAGCCGGGACTCAGAGCGGAGACTTGAGGCCCAAGTAAGCAATTTTAGCTCGCAGATAAGCCACCTTAACATAACAGGAATATAGCGGAAACCAGGTTGGGGTTCTATTAACCAGGACCTCCACATGAAGAGCATTTGGCTGATTGTTGTGCCTCTATAGCGCATCAGAGTGCTATAGGGGGAAAGGGATGGTCTAGAGCATTAGAGCGCGGTGGGGTGGCTCCTGTTTATACTCGAGTTAACACACCTTGCTCCAATGGGGTGAACATTTCTCTTAGGCTGGGTTTAATCAAATTGCTTGCTTGCTTGAACGCGACGTCAGTTTTAGCTTACAAGCGAAGCAGTGACATCTCCAGAAGATGCCAACCTCTAGTGTTGGCGAAACGTCGAGAACTAATCTCAGAAGACAACGTCCTAACAGCCCGAACAAACAGTTTAACAAATCTTAATCCTATCTATGATCTCTTTGTTCTACATTAATGCATCTATGTTTACATACATTATTTAATAATGTAACATATAATTTTGCCTAGTTCCCATAGACATTTATATAGAAGAAAATAAATACACCTCTACATTTGAACACTCACCTTTCCTTTGCGAATGTTAATGAAACTACAGATCTTCTCTTCTTGTACAAAGCCTTGAAAAATCTTTACTATATAGTCGTATTGATTTTCTAAAACAATTTCACTTTCTAACTTAAACAGTCTTAGGACTTCTCGTTTTTGTTCTGGCGTGGGGGCTAACTCCAACTCTCTTAATCTGAAATAAGAACAATTTATATCAAACCATCAAAAAAACATACATAATTTAAGTAATCAGTGAAACAGTTTATTTGTACGTGTCTGTAGTAGCATAGCCATCATGTTGAACGAGTGAAACGAATCATATTCAACTAGAGACTAAATCTAAAAATGAAAGATATTTAAAAAATTGTAAAACAATCTCTTACCTTTGTTTCTGCTTCATTTCTCTTAACTTATCCATATTGCTTATATACAAAGGATTATTGATATCTTCCGCCTTAAGCAGTAACGCGTACAATGCTTCTAGTTCTAACAACAGCTGCTTCGTCTTCCTTGTATCCCTCGGTACCTGAGGACTGTCAGTTTCTTTGTCCGGAGTAACAATGTCCATGTCAATGATTTTTCGAGGAGCCGTGACCGACCCACACTGAAAATATATAATCATGTAAGAATTTTAAATATACAAATAAATATAAAGATATACACCTATAATCTGCATAAATCCACTTTTCAAAAATGTTCAGGAGACTTAAAAACTTGCTGCAGCTGTTGTACTAAAATTTTCGAAATTTCAGAGAACGCAATCAATTTGCGTTGTCTGTTTGTGTCTGTTGGATATATCGCGTTTTGTAAAAAAAGATTTGAGATATTAACTTTTGTCAAACTAACAATATCTTAGAAATAAGAAATATTAAATGGTACCCACAAAAAAAAATGAGTACAAAAAATTTAGATGTGAACATTTTTTGGCCCATCCTCCAAGCAATCACACTCGCCATCATGGTAGTTGTGGGTTTCTGGATCTGGATCACTAGTAACTTTGTGTTGCAAAGCATTAATATACCAATGAAGATCAGAGATCTCTTTCGAATTTTGTCCAAAGTGGGTTTGCAATAAATGAAGGACATCTTTTTTTCTCTTCGGTCACGGAATGAGATAGTGGGATTTGGGGAAGAGCCTGAAGAAAATCATTTTTATTATTTTTTACAATGCTTCTAAGTTTATGTTCCACTATCGAACCTATAGTTGGCACAGCATTTTATTTTGGTTGAAGTATGCCAATTCCTTGTTTTGATTTTTTTAATAATGAGGCGTTTGGTTTGGCTGATTCCTTTTATTTTTTAATTAATCATTTCAAGGCTTTTTGATATCGTATATCATCCAGTCTTATCCCAGTTTCTGTACAGAGCCAAACTCCTCGTAAATAGAAGCATACTCTTCGCTCAAGATGATGGTATCAGTTTTTTTCAAGCGCTTCTCCACACGGTCAAAAGCTCGATCAGCTGGAAGAAAACAGTGGCCATGAGTCGGAACCGTTACATGAATTTTCTGTACATTCTCTGGAGCCTCATTTTTAAGCCAATGGTACAAAACATAAACAACATGAGCATTTTTATTTTGGCCAGCGAAACCATCACAAAACAACGATACTGCAGAAAAAGACGAAATATCTTGGCGTCTTAAGTAATGGATGAGTGCAGATCCGATTTCATTGGCTTCTCTGCTTCCCTGCGTTTCATTCCAAGTATAAAATGTTGGTGCCTTTGAGTCAATAGGCACATATAGCAAAATTAATAGAATGCAATTTGTCGGCGATAAAAGGCATCGCCGATTGGAGTTTTAGGGAGTGGGTGCACTTGTTGAAAATCAAAAACAAAACTATAAGTATCAGTGGGAACTTCCTTCATTAGTTTGTAAAACGCATCCCCTCTCAGCTTGTGAATACGAAGTTCAGTAATTGGATTAATTCTTTCAACTGAGCCGCGAGCGTTTTGTTGAATAAGATATTTATTATGAGTGCACGTAGCGCATGCATCTGTAGCTGGAGAGGAAAATCCAATGTTGAAAACGGTTACAAAAATACGGTGAAAGCATGAATAGCTCACGTGCAAATCGGTAGTGTAAGCATGTTCCTTAATGAGATTCGGCACAATTTAGTTTACCAAGAAATTGAAGGTCTGCTTCCTTTTTGGCTCTGAAAAAAGCTTCTCGTCGATAACCTTTATTTTCTTTGAGCAGCAGACCTTGATTGAGGACCTTTCCAATCCGCAGTAGTCGAGAGGCAGGTACACCCATTGAGAAAGCAAAAAACTTTTTACAGACAGAAATCATGCGTTTCTGTTGCTGACTATTCAGAAAAAATTTCACAGAAACTGTTCTTGCGCGAGTTACAGAGACAGGCGCACCACTTCTTCTTCTTTGGGGATCGAAAGCAGAGATATAATTTATCAAAACAAGATCTTGTTTCTCTTTGCCCTCTGCTATGTAGACTGCTTTTCGATTAATTTGTATATAATCGTAGGATACCGTAGCATAACGAAGATTTTTCGAATTATGGGCACATGGTCTGGTCTTCTGTTTTAGAAACACTAAATGAGGATCACTATCGTTGTACTTCATCATTTTTGAACGCCCTCTCTCACTTGTTTTGATCATCATCATCAATCAGCCAATCGCGTCTACTGCTGGACATAGGCCTCCCTCAGTTCTTTCCAGTGTTCTCTACACTGGGCCGCTTGTATCCAGTTTCCCGCTACACGTTTAATGTCATCGGTCCATCTAGTCGGTGGTCGTCCTCGGCTTCTTTTATAATTTCTGGGCCTCCATTCCATAATACGTCTTGTCCACCGTCCATCTTGTGTTCTGACTAAGTGCCCTGCCCAGTTCCACTTAAGCGTCGTGGTTCTTTCGATGACACTTGAACTCCCGATCTTCGCCTGATTTGTTGGTTTGTTATGTGGTCTCGAAGGCTCACGTTCAGCATTGCACTTGTTTTGATGGATCGTCTTTTTTTAGATCCCAACCGATAAATTAGCAACACTATCCAGCTCAAAATGACACGCAAAACACAGAAACAACGTTGACATACAACGAATTTACAACATCCCGTCTCATCGAACGAAAAAGTACTGATAATCTCATTCTTATACATCGTGGCATGGCGTGGCTAGGCTACACACTGTCAGTGCGACCCGTGAGAATTTTTTAAACTAACGAATATTCTATTTTGTTTCACGAATCAACATCTAATTCTGGAGGATGCTTTTAAAACCAAACAAAAATAGTAGAGGGATAGTTCCGCAGGCCGGAGGATTTATGCAGTTTTGTATAAAAAAAGAGTGAACCGTGAGTAAAGGTTTTTGAGTGTATTAATTAAGTTTTGTGGAAGAAACGTGATTATTAGGCTTATTTTAAATGGGAAATATTAAATTTTAACACATGAGACTTATATACAAGATCTAAGGCAGACTAAACTCTCGAAAATCAACAAAAAATGTATTTTAGGCGGAAATGGATTTATGCAGTTTTGTAAAAAAGCTCTTCAATTTTTCATTATAAAGTGGTTGTTTAAAGCGATAACGGCGTAAATTTTTAATTTATTTTTGTACACATGTCTGTTTATACATCCACAAAAAAAGTTCAAATAATAAAATGGTTTTATGGTGGTAATTCTGGACAACAGTGTGTAGATTTATTTTCTGTGTTTTTTGAGTGAAATCATAATTTGTTAAAAATTTTAAGGGTTGCTATTGACTCAAAAATTGCAGAAAATGTCACGCTTAAGAAGTCTCACCAGAAAAACTTGAGGAAAGGGAATACCGGGATACACAAATTTGTGCAACAATCGAGGTAGATTGAACACGTTTTGTAGCATTTTCAATTTCATTGATTCTTTTAAGTATATTGAAGTCCCCTCGTATACGAAATATTAAAATCACCTTTTGATAGATCTAAAAATATTTCGTACGTATTTAAACCCAAATATCTTTTCATTTCTTTCTTAGGTCGGCCAAGTGGAAATAAACCATTTTAGAGTTGTTTATTTATTTTACTTCGGCAAATTCTTTTCAAGTTAATGCGTCGCAAAAGGATATGTACGTCGTTTCGTGGTGTCTTGTTATGTCAGCGTTTGTATGTATACGATCAATTTTAATAGAGAATTTCTTCACTCTCGTTGTAGCAGCTTTCAAGAGTGGTTCAACGTTATGTCCAAATTCACGTCGAATTTGTAAAGTATCCTGTTTTCGTCTTTTGTTATGAAGAATATGTAGCAGTTTGTTATTGGTTTTGTAGCAGTAAATGCTTCAATTATTAATGTTTTGAGTGAGGATTGGAGGACATCCTCGTTTTGTTTTTCTTTTGTTCCTGCTTTTATCCAAGGCTTTTGGCAGTTTGGAGATCGAGGTTTTCGTGATCCAGAGAGAGTGGAGCCCTCAGTTCCAGGTTCCAGTTATGGTTTCAGAAACTTAAGTGTGATCATGTGAATCAAGGTAACATTTTGTTCAAATTTTAAATTAAAGACAGACATTTTTTTATAAATTAATAATAATTGCTTTCGTTGACATTTCAAATTGTAAATTTTAGGTTTTGAGTAAAGCTGTCAATTTGTGTTAAGTTTTTTTTGAAATTTAATGTTAATTTATGACAGCTCGTTTTAGTATTTTTGATGTTAATTTGTTTTGTTTTGTTTTAAAAGGTTAACCTCCATGCAATTTTGTAAGTTTTGTAGCAATGGAGTTTGTTAATTGATGACACATGTAAGTTTTTGAATTTTGTATTTCTCCATGTAACTGTTTGTGGTGACATAAATAAAAGTTGAATTTTATTTTCTTAACTTTTTATTTATTTTTTTTGAGCTAACCCTTTTTGAGTTTATTTGAAAAAGATATGTTTTTTATGTTTTGATTTTGTTTTCTAATTATTTCCCTAGTTACAACTAGTGGTTGTAATAGGCATAATTAGGCACCTCAAGTGGCGCCCTATATTAAATTCCTTGAGGTGTTTCTTGTTTATTTTTATTTTGTTTATCCCAAGAGCCCTTTATTTCATTTTTTTGTAGTTGCCCCATTCCAATGCCCCTATCTTTTACTTTATTATAAATATATTATATATACTTATTTCTTATTTTATTAGGAATTATTTTTTATTTTCAATAAGAATATATTTTTTGTTACCTTTTTAAAGAAGTACGCTTTTAATTTTATTTCAACCACAAAAAATTGTTCACTTATTAAACACCGATACAAATACACCGCCTTATAAAGATCAGTGTATTTTATCTAGTTTATGTGCTCTAAGAAATGAACCGGGTATACGTAATGAAAACAAACATCGAAGGACGGAACAGTTAAAGTTACTTCTATAATATATAATTTATATTATATTATTCAGTTTAAGTTAAGTCTCAAATGCGTGACTAACCGATTGTATTAACGATTGTAGTAAATTTTTATGAGAAATGTACAATTTCTTAGGTAACTAAAATAATTTGTAGGCAAATAATAATTTCTATAGTAGTAGTTTCTATCATAGTAAAGTGATGCATGTCATAAAATGTTCACGACTATAAAAACTAATCGATTCTCTGGTGAATTTCCTCCCGAAGCACGTGTATATAATAATATGCAAGTAAATGTGTTACAAAATGTTTACGATTGTATGTAATAAAATCTATATATAGATTGATAATTTTAAATATTTTAATTTATATCCAAAATAGTTACTCACCTGTAACTTGCCCAACGAATTTTCAAATTGCAAAGGCGTATAGACCCGTGGTGTTAGTGTATTTGCATTTTCTTGCCTATCACTGTTCCTGTGTTGCCTTTTATGATGTACGTTTCTTTCGTTAGAATTTTCTTTGTTGTTACCTTTTAATTTCCTTTCCTTAAAGATCTTAAAACAAAGAAAGGGGAATTTGTAAGATAATAATTGTAATTGTTGGATAAAAATATTAAATTAAATATCATACTTTATGTATTATATATATATATATATATATATATATATATATATATATATATATATATATATATATATATATATATATATATATATATATATATATATTTATATATATATATATATATATATATATATATATATATATATATATATATATATATATATATATATATATATATATATATATATATATATAGTAGTTTTGAGTTTCTTTGAACCGTATTATATTTAATATAAAATTAATATTTCTTGGGTTAGGTTCAATAAAGATATGTTACATGTGGAACTAGGTTTTATTTTCCATAGCAATCAATCAACGTTTCGGCAGGAAACCCTTGCCTTTGTCAAGATTCTAAAATGTGTATATATATAAGGACAAACAGATATTGTAAAATATGTATATATATATATATATATATATATATATATATATATATATATATATATATATATATATATATGACTTACCAAAACGTAAAACGTGACACAGACATTGAACGAACTGACATATAAAAGTTGATATCTGATATCTCATTGTTTACTGTCATTAGTATATAATTATTTTTATATGGGCGTATCGTTGATGTTTTTGAAAAAGGTAAGGTGGAGATATGTTATGACTTTAAGAGCTTTTTATGATGTTATATTGTTATTGTTTAAATCAGATTGAAATATATTTTATTTAGGTTTTGTGTATCTTTTTTGTCATTTATTGCGTTGGTGTTTCTTTTTATTTCTATTGATTCGTATATCTCCCTTTTCTTTTTGTTTTTTTTCTGTTTTTAAAATTTTAATGTTTTCAAAGTCAAATTTATGCTTCTTTCCGCTTTCATGTTTTGTGAGCGCAGTGACGTTGTTCTTGTCGTATTTGTGAGAACGAATTCTGGATTGAAGCAGTTGACTGGTTTGACCGATATAGACACCTTCACAGTTTGTACATGGTATCCCGTAAACAACATGTGATTTTTTAAGTTTTGGAGTTTGTGTTTTAAGTTTTGTGAAGTATTTATTTAAGAGGTTGTTGCCTTTGTGGGCTACTGTTATATTATGCTTGGCTAAAAGATTTGTTAGTTGTTCGGATAAACCTTTTATATATGGAAGAGTTGTATAAGTGGTTTTGATACTGTTGGGTTTGTTGTTAGTTGTATTGTTATAAAATTTATTGAGTCTTGATTTGAAAATAGTTTCGATTAGATGTTCGGGATATGCATTCTTTAGAAGAGCATTGTTTGCTTTTTTTATTGCAGTTGGTCTGTATTCTGGATCTCGTTTGCTTTTTTTATTGCAGTTGGTCTGTATTCTGGAATGTCTGTGTCACGTTTTACGTTTTGGTAAGTCATATATATATATATATATATATATATATATATATATATATATATATATACATATTTTACAATATCTGTTTGTCCTTATATATATACACATTTTAGAATCTTGACAAAGGCAAGGGTTTCCTGCCGAAACGTTGATTGATTGCTATGGAAAATAAAACCTAGTTCCACATGTAACATATCTTTATTGAACCTAACCCAAGAAATATTAATTTTATATTATATATATATATATATATATATATATATATATATATATATATATATATATATATATATATATATATATATATATAGAGAGAGAGAGAGAGAGAGAGAGAAAAGAAATGTAATCTTTGCAGATAAGTTAAATAGTAAACTCTTAAATATTGGGGAAATTTGCAAAAAAACTCTAATGTGTATCAATTATTTCACCTAACGTTCACCTTAACGATTTTTCCATCAATGTTAAGAGTGACATTAAGAATCTAAGCGATATATACCACTTCTTACTTAAATCAGATACCAAGAACAATACAACATCACAGATAACCAACTTGACTGATATATCTATTAACAACTAACCTACTTTAATAATAATTTTCATTACAAAAAAAAGATAACATTCCCTTGCTTTTCTTAGATACATCTCAATAAGATATTATTACAATAATACATGAACAATATACTAATTAAAAAAAAGAATTTCAATTAGAAATTCTAAACTAATATCTTCCCAGACTGGGATCTAACTTCATCGGTTTTACCAATGAACCTTAACGACATTCATATCAAAAGAACTACTTGTAATTGTTTCGGCGCTTGCGTTCTATGAAAACAGAAGCTCACATTCAAACTTTACAACAATTAAAAATTTAGTTATTGCCGACAATTCAAAGAATTACTTCCTTTAAATGTAGTTACATTGGGTTTTTCGATTGTCCTTGTGTAAACCTTTGCGTTTTAAGTTCAAAAAACACCACTATGTTGTTACTAGCTAAAGTTTTTTAACATCATAACTCGACATTTCTAAAATTTCACGGTAAGGTAAATGTTTTTTATTAGATAATATATGGTAGCTAATTATAATTTATTCTCTTTCAGCCCTGAAGAAGCCAAATTCTCTTTGGCGAAAACGTTAGGTGAAATAATTGATACACATTAGAGTTTTTTTTTGCAGATTTCCCCAATATTTAAGAGTTTACTATATATATATATATATATATATATATATATATATATATATATATATATATATATATATATATATATATATAATGTTCCTCCTACACATAATATAGCCTTTAGCACACAATTCAACATCTTTAAACAAAAATTCACAACTGTAAAAACTAGCAAAAATAGATTACAATGCCAACAATATGCTAGTCAGTTTTGATATCACCAGTATTTTAACCAATGTACCATTGGAGAAAACTTTAACAATAATAAGGGGCTAACTAGATATGGATGATACCTTGACAACAAAAACCAAACTGAATGTATCAGCTATCATGGAGCTACTATCAGTTTGCACAGACGACACTTATTTACAACTAGATAATGATTTCTATAAGCAAAATTTCGGAATAGCCATGAACTCATCCTTATCTCCATTATTAGCAGATATATTCATGGAGGATTTCGACGAAATATTGTTCACAAACAAGACAAACAACTCACAATATGTTGAAGATATGTAGATGACGTGTTCTCCATTTGGCCTCACGGACTAGAAGAATTGAATAAATTTCTGATGCATATCAACAATAAGAAGAATCAATCAAATTCACCATGTAATAAGAAAACAACAATTCACTTCCTTTTGTTGAAGTGTTAATCACAAAAAAAGACACAGGATATGTAATCAAAATATACAGAAAACCAACCCACACCAACAGATATTTAAATAACCATTCAAACCATAATGTAAACATAAAAAAATAATTATCAAACTATTATATGATATAACCTGCTAACAAAGATTTTGATAAAAAATGAATACCCATTGTCATTTATAAACAAGGAATTTAACACGATTGAAGAAAGGAAACAACAATACACCACAAGCAATCCAGAAACACCTACAACAAGGGATCCAAAGATGACAAAAATACAATATGTAGATATGGCTTATCAGAAAAATTGAAAATCATAACATTCAAAACAACCAACACACTGAGATTTATCCTGTTCAAAACCAAACCCAACAAAACACATGAAAGATCAAAGAACTGCAATTATGAAATACAAAGGCTTTTTTACTTCGCAATAACCGGTTTTATGGTTGTTTTTTTGTCCCGGTTATAACCGGTTTTTTATTTTTAAAGTAAAAACCGGTTATTAGGTCTTATAGACTTTATACCAGAGAACATAATATCATCCCTACATTCCAATTCGGCTTTAGAGAAGGACACTCCACCTAAACGGCATTAACAGAAATCTTCACACACATCATTTAAAGTCTAAACGACGGCAAACTATCATTAGGCATTTTTTTCGATGTTCAAAAAGCCTTCGACCAAGTCTGGCATGCTGTACTGGTCAAGAAACTACTGAACAATCGGCCTGTCATTTCCATTGGTTAGACTTATTCATTCATATGTCACTCAACGTAAAATACCGGTAAATATGCGAGGTCATTTCTCAGCCTCTTGTACTTCTACAGCAGAAGTTCCGCAAGGTTCCGTGTTGGCACCTATTCCCTACACGATATATAATAGCGACTTCCCTAACCCACGTAACACTCGCAACCTCACTTTGCTCTGCGCAGACGACACTGCTCTCGTAACAACATCTCGCGATGCAGATGCTCTATGTAGGTTTGCTCAAAATCACCTTGACCTGATCGACACGTGGTGCAAGGTATGGAGACACCAGACCTAACCCTAATAAAACAAAATTGATTCTCTTTAGACACCTCAATCTCAGCGGATACACTACACACAATTTAGCCGCAAGAATCGACCTCAGAATCTGGGGCTATCGACTCTAACTCCGTAACCAGATAGAGTACCTCAGTGTAGTGTTCACAGAAACACTAGATTGGAGGGCTGATCTGGCTGCAACCCGTAACAGGGTTAGGAGAAGAGTGGGTCTACTCAATTCTCTCTGTGGATTCCCCATACACACATACAAAACATTTATTAGGCTGATTATTGAATATAGAGCAAACCTTTATGCAATGTTCAATCACCGCCTTACACAACAACTGTTGCGATTGGAACGGGGAATCCTGCGTAGAGTACACTACAAACGGCATGACTACCCCTCCGCCCTCATACATCAACTTTTGAATATCCAGCCCATCAATAAAAGGCTGTCCTCTCTGAGCAGGAGTTATACAATCAAAACTATCCGTGGCCAAAATGTCAGAGCCCAAAATATCATTAAAACTCATCATGCTCATCCTTCGTCAATGTATTCAACAGACACCCCAAACGCAAACTCCCATTCCTACCCACTAAATTTCTGACTCTAGCCAGCAACGAACTCCTTGATGAATACACTATTATCCTGAAAGCAACTCCACTTTATTACCGCCGTAGCTAATAAATAGCTCACTTCGAGCTTTGCTAAGAAGAGGGAGGGATCGGTTTTCTGTGGTTTCCCGATTCCATTACACAATTATACTTGTCTATTGTGAGGTTATAGTCACAGTTGCCCTCTCCGCGATTCATAACATTTATACATTTATGAATTAAATTCATTAACAATTCATAACTATATAATTTTTACTAATAAATTTCTGAAAAGGACCATTTTAGCTCAAACCCTTTCACCCCTGACCATCCTGGACACGACCTCCTCCGCAGGACTACAGCCACCGACGCGCACCACCAGTGAGCACAACCCAGCGACGCAATGCCAACACCAAACAAAACAATCAACGTCCTGAAGAGGTGTCCCACTTACAACAGGACAACAAAATTAGCCAAAAAGAAAATACAACCAACAGGGAGAGAACAACCAGACAACGATGGAAGAGAGAGTCGAGTTCCGCTGGAGTGCTGATCTAGAGGGAATTCTACCGGGTCTTTGGGTATTGACTGAAGTCCAACCGCTTCTGCTAGAGTGTTAATCTTGTAGTAGTTCCGTACCCGGTCTTGGATTATTGATCTGAGACAGACCTATTCTTTCCGGTGACTAAGCACTGATTAGTCTCTGTCCGTTCCTCGCCGGACCGAGTGTTGATTCGCCCGTTGCATTTCTATTCCTTTGGCCCGTCCTTTTTCGTCTTCGCCGCGTGTGTATTTACACACAGTGAAGCATCTAGTCGTCGATACAGCTGTCCCTCGGATTATCGCTTGAATAATTATGTACATATTATTATTTCGGATAGAATTTAATTTTGTTATTTAATTTATTCAGAAAACATTTGTTTGTTGTCTGAAAGAGCTACCCGTCAAAACTTCCACTATTCATGATTTTTTTTATTAATTAAAGAAGTTTGTAACAGTACGTTTATTTCAGTTATTAATAAGGTATGGTAGGGATTTTTGTGTTGTAGGTTTTCGATAATGAATATCAAAATATTTCCAAGTTGAGTGAACCGACTATATCTAGTACCTATTACTTTGAACTTAACAATCAGCACAATCGCTCAGTTATCAATATGTCAATATCAAGATTGATAATCGATATACTGACGTTGTTTTGTTTCAATATTTTAATACAAGATAGAGCAAGGTCGAATAATAAAATTTTTGAAGAACAAAAGTATAAGATAGCTAAGAACACTTACTGTGTAATAGTAATCATCAAAATATGGCGTGCCGGTATTCAACTGCAGCATTTGAATATTTAACAACCATTGTTTTTCTCTCATCGTCATAAGACCAGCGTATTCGTCCTTTGGTTCTTGTTCTCTCTGATGATGGTGTCTATAGCTTCCACTATCATGTCTTGATCTGCAACACAAATAATGGTATGACAAACTTTGATACAACTTTAAATACAATAAAATTTTATCATAAAACTTTGATTATAAAAGCATAGTTTAATGAAGACTACGAACTAGCACAAAGAAAAAAGTATATTGCCCTCTACGAATAGTCTAAGAGACAATAAAAAAATAGCGCTGACATGACCGTTCTCTAGTGGTATAATAAGGAACTAAAATCTTGTTTAACTTCTTCTCCTTCTCCATGTGTATAACTTCTACCGAGACCAAAAAGTGACAGTGAAAGATACTTCTATATGCGTCTATATTCTTTGCTATTACTATAAACTTAACAATTAGCACAATTGCACAGTTATCAAATATCAATATCAAGATTGACAATTGATATACTGACGTTGTTTTTGTTTCAATACTTCAATACAAGATAGGAATTTAGTTTCCTTGTGGATAATAAAAAAATATGATTTTGACATGAAATAACAATAATAATGAGAAATGATTCGACAGAATTCTTGAAAGTAACGGAAGTCTTTACCGATGCAACAATTATCCTGCTAAACATATCAGTCAAATTTACTACGCAATACGCGCTCTATATTTAATATCTATAATTCTAGCAAATTTGATACAACTAAGCGTGGACTAACATGTTTTCACCTGTGGAATATTATCAATTGAAACGTCTGTGAATCTGATCTAATTCGGCGATAGCAGATATGTATTTTTGCAAATGGAGTTATACGCTCCATTTTAATATTCTTTTTACGTCTTCTGTCTTCTAAGTTATATATCAATTTGGTGACATTTGACATATAAAGTTCTTCCATGGGCTCAGCCAAACGTAGTACTAAGTTTAAAGAATAAAGGACTTTTTCTTTTAAGAGTTATCGCACAGAGAGACGGACGAACGGACACACAACGACACGATTTCAAGAAGGACTTGTCGGGTTCTTAATAAACCTAAACACAAATAAGGGCATTACCTTCTACGAATGAGAAAAAAAAAGGAACAAAAATCCACTGAATCAGTAAGGCAATAAAGAAAAAGCAGAAAACAAATTAAGGTTAAGACTTGAAATTAATATATTTTCCTTTCATGACTAAGATCCGCATTCAATTACTTAAATTAATAATGGAATTTAAACTTTAATACATATATACCTTTCTTTTTGCTGGTGTTGGAGAGACTGATGGTGAATTTGCTGATGAGGCTGCTGGTGGTGTTGTTGGTTGATGTTGTTGTGGAGTAGGCGTTGCTGTTGCTGATTCAGGTTCGTCATAGCGCGAGCAAGTGGTGGGGGAAACGGAAACGGATGGCCAATCTATAAAATAAGAAATGCATAAATATACTAATAATAAGATATCCCAATTAACCGGGGCCTTTTCCAGGGGGGCTGGTTGAGTCCACTTTGGTTCTGTTTGGCGATGAATCCACTATCCCAGCTAGTGAACTCCACTGACTCAGGTTTTGGCATCAAAAATAATAATACTGTTGTGGCGAAGCTTAATCATTTGCTGTATATAGATGATTTGAAATTAATAGCTTCCAGTGAATCAGTATGCACTTTGGACTAGACAAGTTTCGTGTTTTAAATCTAGTCAGAGGAAAGCTTCAACCCGGAGGTTTCGATATGCAAGATGGTCAAAACATCTAAGCAATGGGTGAAAATGATATATAAAATATCTCGGAGTAAAATTGGGAGTCCCAATACATCAAAAAAATTATAGCGCCCTCTAAGAAATACAAGCTAAGGCATAAAAAATGTAACATTTCAATGGACTATATTTGATATTATATGGAATGGAAGCATAAATAATTAGTATGTGGCACAAAAATCTTCTAAATATATGAAAAACACGGGTAATCATCAATATTTTCAGACCTATAAATAAAATTAATGATCCAAATCAAGGAAACAGTTTGAAATGAATAAGACGCCTAGATCATGTAGAATGCACGGATAATGACGGTGTTTCGAAAAAAGTTAATGCATTCTATACCAGAGTATAATAAAATCCACTGGACGACCAAGAAAGCACTGGTTATATGATTTGATGACCTGACATGAGGGGCTGGCGATAAGTGATCCTCGATAGAAAAATATAGCCAAATCGTGTTTTAGATGTGACCAAAATCCTATGTAGGCATGTGCGTGAAAAACATCTAACAATAACGAAAATTTTTATAAACTTTATATTTAAACTAATGTAATTTTTAATAATACTTAATAATTAAAAACTTCGTTTCATAGACAAGCCTATTTTTATTTAGTGTTGAAAAATGAATCAAACTGCGAAGGTTAACGACACAAAAAATAATAATAAAACTTATCTCGCTTGTGGCAATGATATTGAAATTATCGCATGAACAAATTAAATGTCTGATAAAAATTTAAATATTGTCTATTTTGAAAAATATACAAGTACTACAACTAAAGAAATTTCCATAAAAACTATTTCGATTTAAAAATGTTGGTTTAAGTCTTTCCATTACTTACTTAATTATTATTGGTTTTGTAGTAGATTTTTTGCTATTTATATATTTTAATAATAAACAACAATGAACTTTGATTCAAAATTAAAATTATTTTTGAATACTTTTTGAAATATACTGTAATTGTTAGTTTACTGTTGTCATATAAATATTAAAATAATATAAGTAACAAATTGACAGTTCTGATCTAGAAACGAGCTATTCTTCTTTTTATTTCAATTTTATAATAACAATAATCTTGTTTATGCCAATAATCATAGTTGTCGAGGCATTAATTCAATAAAAAAAATCTTGTTCTTCTTCTTCTTCTTTTTGGCTTTTATTCTACTGAATAATCAGCTAGTACATTTGTTGTGTTAATTTTTGGGCCACTTTCGTGAGTCTGAGAATATATCTCATGCCCTATTATTGGTGAATTTAGATATTTTATTTACAAATCTACATTTTATTTATGTTTTCTTATAATTGATTACTATTAAACTGGGAATAAGCCACAATTAAAGATAAAAATACGTTTATTGACGTTTCAACTTCCACTTCGGAAATCGTTCTCAAAATACAAACAGTAAATCTCAATTTACTGTTTGTATTTTGAGAACGATTTCCGAAGTGGAAATTGAAACGTCAATAAACGTATTTTTATCTTTAATTGTGGCTTATTCCCAGTTTAATAGTAATTAATTTACAATGCCACAAGAAAATAGCTTCAGAACAATATTCTTATAATTGGTTTAAATGTTAATTTTGGATAGGTTATTACAAAGGTTATAATTTTATATGGTTGATCTGTAGGAATCTGAGAAGAATTTTGATAATTTTAGGGTTAATATCGCATAAAAGCATGGGTATGTTAATTTTGGTTTTAATATTAACTTTGATCAGCTCCTGATAGACATCATAATCTTTTATTTTGTTTATTGGGCATTCCCAAAATATGTGTTCTAGTGTTTCCATTTGCCCACATTCACAGTATGGGTTATCGCGAATGTTAATTTTATATAAATGTACTCCTGTCAGACAATGACCTGTCCTCATTCTAATAATGGTAGTAATATGCCGCCTATCTATGTATGGGATTGTGTCAAACCATGGTTTATTAGGAAAAAAAAATTGTATGTTGTGATACCACTTGCCTTTATATTGAAAAGAATTTAACCAATTATTTTGATGCATAGAACATATTTTATTTTTTAATAATGGCATGAGATCCAAGTTACTTAATCGAATTTTAGCAGGAATATTTAATTCAGCTCCAATCTTTGCCAGTTTGTCAGCTATTTCATTTCCCTTAATATCATTATGTCCAGAAATCCAACATAATCTAATTTCTTTCCCATATTTATTTAAATGGTATAGTTTCTTTTTAACTTGCAAGACTCTGTAATCCTTGGTTACAGTTATATTGTTATTAATGTTGTCTATAGCGCTCTTTGAGTCCGTAAATATTATAGCTTTATCAAAATTTTTTTCCTCGCAAATCATTATACCCTTTTGAATAGCTATTATTTCAGCTGTACAGATATTAATAAGTGAAGGAATTTTTTCAGAAAAGGCATAATTTATACTAGGTATGTGTATTCCTATGCCCGTTTTGGCTTCTTCAAGGTTTTGATTTTTTTGTTTTTTTGAAGCATCTGTAAATATTTGTATGTAATTATAGTAATGCGAATTTACAAAATTATAATATTCCCAAAGGTTATGGGAACTAGTTTTTTTAATAATGTTTTTATAATTGGTACATTATAAGTGTAGATTTCGTATTCATTTGAGTAACAGGCTGGTATGTCACTTGTGTTCATTGATGGTAAAAACTTTTTAACTGCTGTTAGAGCGTCAATCAAATATGTTGGATTTTTTTCCTTCCAATATCCTTGTTGATAACTATGATATTTTTTTAAGTCTAGAAGCATATTTAATAATGAGTAATTTGGAGTTGTACTAATCTTTGCTATGTATTTCGTGGCAATCCATTTAAATCGATGGTGTAAATCAATAGTTGCACTTTCTGCTAGAATGACATTAGTGGGAGTAGATTTCATCATCCCATGTGTTGTTCTCAATTGGAATTGTATTCGGTTTAATTTCATAAAATTTTGTTGAGAAAAGTTATTAGTTATACTAGCGCCATAATCTAATTATCTTGTGATATTATCATAGACAATGTCTTCTTCTTCTTTTTATACAGACATGACTGTCTGTTTTTCAATGTGCCTCTAGTAAGTTGTAGTTCCATCCTTTTTGGTGGTCTTCCTACTGATCGTCTTCCTATTGGGGAATCGTCTCTTGTCGTCTTTACTACTCTATTTGTTCGGCTTATATGATCGTTCCATTCCACTCTTCTATGACTTACCCAGTTCTTGTTGTTCTTCACCTTGCATCTACGTTGTATATCTGTACTTCCAACTCTGTCCCACAGTGTCTTACCATCAATTGTTCTAAGTGTTTTCATCTCTGCTGTTTCTAACATCCTTTTTGTCCTCTCTGTGTCAGTTTCTGCCACGTATGTCATTATTGGGCTGAAGACTGTTTTGTAAATTCTGCCTTTCCCAATATTTTTATTTCTCCATATTGATTCATTCAAGTAGTCTGAAGCTCTGTTTGCTCTATTTACTTGATCTTCTACTTCAGTTTCGAGCTTTCCGTAGCTAGATAATGTGATGCTTAGATATTTAAACTCCCATCACTTGTTCCATTATCTGACCCTCCAGCTCCAATTTACATCTTAGTAAATTTATGGTTGTAATCATGCATTTTGGTATTTTTTGGGGAAATTAACATGTTCAGTGTTCTGGCGGTTATATTAAATTGGTGTAGCATACGTTGTAAATCATCTTCACTTTGAGAGAATAGTATTGCGCCGTCTGCATAGCAGATTATTTTAAGTTGTTTTTTTTCCCATTTGGTATCTTTTTTTAGTTCTTACTTTTTTATTATTTCATCCATAATCGGGTTGAACAATAGAGGACTCAGGGAATCTCCCTGTCTTATACCATTGCCAGCTTCAATAGGGTCAGTTAGTTCTTCTTCTACTTTTACTGTGTTGTTTTGGTAGATATTTTAGGTCGTTTTGATTATTATTAGAGTTATTTCCCTTGCGTACAGTAAGTGTCAATGTACAATAAGTTTACAATAACGTCTTTTAATTTGACAAGTTCAAATGCCTTCTTAAGGTCCACGAAACATAGATATGCCGGTTTGTTGTATTCTAATGATTTCTCTTGTTCTTGTCTCTTTATAAAGATAGCGTCCGTCGATGCATGATCTTCCCGACTTAAAATCTTGTTGTTCTTCTGTTAGTGTTATAATTTCATTCAGTTTATTTGTTATCACTTTGGTTGTTAATTTTAGTGTTATGTTAAATAAATTAATTCCTCTGTAATTTTCCGGGGCTGATTTGTCTCCTTTTTTGAAGAGCGGTATTAAGACGCTTGATCTCCATTCTTGAGGAATTCGTTTCATGTTGTTTTATTATTTTTTGGATTAGTTTTAATAGTTGTTTGGTCAGATCTGGTTCTCCGTACTTTAGGAGTTAATTCGGTAGTCTGTCCTCTCCTGGTGATTTTCTATTTTTTAATTTCCTTAATGCTTCCTTTACCTCTTCCTGATCAATATTTATTTCTTCGTTTGTTGTCAACTCTGGTGTTAGTGGTTTATTATAGTCACCTTTAGCAAATAGAGATTGAAAGTAGTCTACCGATGTTTCCTTCAGAATGGGTTTCGTTTTTATTAGTTTATCTCTTTTCTTTGTCCTCTGATCATTCTCCATATTTCTTTTTGTGTTCCGTAGAAGTCGTGTTCCATCTATTTTAAGAAGCTCTGCCAGTGTTCCCTTTTTATTTGTCTAACTAAGGTATTCGTTTCATTTCTGATTCGTTTATAGTGGTTTGTGTTTGTTGTGCTCTGGATTTTAAAAAGGCTTTCTCCTTTTCTTCACATTTTGTTTTCACTTCCTCTAAACGACGGTGTTTTCTTTTTTGATATGTTATTGTTCGTTACTTTCCTCTCTCCAAGTGGTTCTGTTGCACTGACACTGCCTGGGGTAATTGCGAGGTGGATTGAGTAGCTCTGTAATTACTACAGCCGGTTCCAAGCCCGGATAAAATGTGGAGGGTGATTGGAAAGGTTAGCAACCTACCAGTCGTAAAAACAAATACTGCTCAAAGAAACAATGTACAGCCTCGGAACCGGATTGATACTATAAAGACGACCAGGGCAAGAAATAAGGACAAGCGAAAAACATCAAAAACCCAGATGAGAATTGCTATTTGGAATATCAAATAGCTCAACTCAAGGGACCAAGATATAACCAAAGTGCTGAAAGAGAAAGAAATAGACATTTGTGCTCTAGAGAAAACAAAAAAGAAAGGAAAAGGACAATCAAAATTAGGTGAATACATACTAATCTACAGTGGAGTAGCAAAAGAAAATAAAGCCAAAGAAGGGTAGCCTTACTAATACACCAAAGGTACCAAAATCACATCAAAGAGTGAAAATACATATCAAAAAGAATAGTAACAGCAAAGATAAAAATGGAGAAGGAAGACCTGAACATCATCGGAGTATATGGCCCAGAAAATAACAAGACTCAAACAACAAGGGAACCGTTTTATGACCAATTACAAGTAGTAGATTAAGTCAGAGGGAAGATGATAATATTGGAAGATTTTAACGCTCGAATAGGCAATCAAGTAATACCCGGAATTAAGCAAAACATAACGAGGATGTCAAAAACGAAAATGGAAAATTGATGATAAACTTCTGCACGATTAACATATATCATTTTTCATATAAAAAAGCTTGCACGTCATTCAAGATTTACGTCGTCAGAACCCCACAGCGTTGCCAAAACATCAGAATAGTTAGTAAATGAGGAATTTTTAAAATGTCAACTATTTGTCAAACTATTATATTAAGTAAATACACTTAGTTTTAAGACTACTGCAACACATTAAAATACATAGGAAAACATTTTAATACAAAATTATATATTCTAAATATTAAACTTAACTCTTTTAGGGCTTTAATAGTAAAATCGTCCAGCCATTATTTCTTGTTCAAAATAATCTATATTATAAGAAAGCTTATCAACTTTCTACAGACTATTTATTTGTTTTGGCATATCACAACCACAATACGCAACAATATTTAGTTTTTAAAGCTATGAATATAAATTTAATATGCATTTATAAATAAAATTTATTAATTTATATTATATTATGATCAAATTGTGTAAGAAATCAAAACATGAACAAAGTTCCTACTATAAAAAAGCGGCAATACTTTTGCCACCCGCTGAACTGTCAAAAAAATTTGAAGTATTTCCGTATCAGTTGCGTACCATTGTCTAATATATTTAATTAAAATTATTAATTTGTGGAATATTAGACTTAAAGAGTTATGTCATAAAATTTATATTATTAATAATGTTTTTTTTAATAATAATTTAAAACAAATGTTTTTGGTTATTTAATCAATATAATTCTAAAATTTTCCATATAGGTAATGATGATTACATTTTTCTGATTATTCCACCATGTTGACGCCTATGAAAGATCGAGCAGTTCCGTATGGGTTTCGTATTATTAGTTGTGTTGGGAAAATTTGAACTCTAAGGTTGATGTTCTCGAAATTTTAAATACAAGTGACGTCACTTTGTAGAAATCGTGACGTGCAAGTGTTTTACTTTGAAAACTGGTATAGACAATGTGTCTATGGATATTATATGAATGTCCCAATATAATATTGTGACGTCATGATTGTAATTTTTGAGGTTAGGTGTCTTATACCAAACAAGCGGGGGTTACTACTATAATACGTGTTATTTCCATAGAAAGAAAATTAAATATTGTACACATTTTATTCGCAATTTATATTATTTCTTGCACATGAAGAATAAAATCAAGAGGATTCTATTAACGTCTTTTTTATTATTTTCTTCATCCTATAATTTAGGTATTTATTCTGCTCTAGCTATTTTCGGTTTATACAGTTAAGAAATGGTATTGTTAAGTTTCCGCAAAAGTGAAAGAAATGATAAAAAGAAAATATATATTGAATTTTTTTAGATTATGCCTGGAAAAACTGGACTTCATTTATCACTTCCACTGCTGAACATAGGCCTCCCTTAAACTTCTCCATTTTTTGCGATTTTGTGCTCTTTGTTACCAATTTTTCGTGGTACGCCTGATGTCGTCAGTTCAACGTGTACGTGGTCTTCCTCTACTACGTGTCTCTGCTCTTGGCCTCCAATGTGTAATTTTACTCGCCCATCGTAAGTCATGCATTCTCCCTACATGGCCTGCCCAATTCCATTTTAGTCCGCTATGCGTTTCACAACACCAACAATACTCGTCCTTCTTCGTAGATCTTCGTTTCTTATTCGGCCCCGCAACGTCACTCCCAGCATAGATCGTTCCATTCGTCCCTGTGCCACTCTCAATTTCAAAGCCGTAGTCTTGGTTAGAGTCATAGTTTCCGCCCCATAGGTCATGACCGGTAAAACGCATTGGTCAAATACTTTTTTGAGGCTAATTGTTATGTTGGCCCTAACTGTGTCACGCAGTTTTCCAAAGGCTGCCCACGCTAAAGTAATTCGTCTTTGGATTTCGCAAGTTTGGTTATCCCTGCTGATTCTTATTTCGTGATCCAAATACGTATATTTCTCCACCAGTTCTAGCACTTTGTTTTGAATAGTTAAATGGCTATTGGGGACCATATTTGTCATAAACTTCGTTTTGGATAAGTTCGTTCTGAGGCCCACCTTCGAACATGCAAAGTCCAATTGGTTTAACATATCTGTGGCTTCTCCTAAATCATCTGTGATAAGGACAATGTCACCTGCGAAACGAAGATGGTTAAGTTTTTCGCCGTCTATTGTTATTCCTCTGTGGTCCCAATTGACCATCTTCAAGGCATACTCTAATGCCGTTATGAATAATTTCGGTGACAATGTATCTCCTTGCCTTATACCACGTTTTATTTTTATTTGTCGGGTTTTATCCTGTATTTTAACAGTTATAGTGGCATTTTTGTAAATATTGTAAATAAGTTCACTATGCCTATGGTCAATCCTGCTGTCATTCATTGCTTCTATTAGGCTATCTATTTCGATCGTGTCGAACGCGTTATGAAAATCTATGAAAGCGAGGACAAGAAGTTTGTTGTATTCTATAGATTTTTGAATGAGCATCTTAACTATATGGAGGTGATTATGGAAATCACCTTAAGAAAGGAGTATGGAAATTATTCTGAAGTAGGAATCCTAGTAGCGTTTCTCCTATGTCATTTCTTCCTGGGGAACCGAAATTTGTCCAAGCAAGTTTCTAGCTCTGCTTCTTTTACACCTATTTTTGCGTTGAAATCGCCACATAAAATTGAGTACGAGAATCATTAAGCGCAGTAGATATATCGTCATAAAATATTTCGATTTCTTCGTCTGTATGGTGTGTTTTTGAAGTGTAAACTTCAAAAACACACCATACTTGTTCGCGTGGTTTTTATGGACAAATAAAACCGCTTATCCTTATCAACATATTGTTACTTATGCGTGAAGGTTTAAAGATTATAAAGCTTTATGTAGACTTGTAATTCATTTACTCCAAAAATCAGTAATTAAGAAATTTTTCAAAAAATTACAAAGGGAGAAAAAGTATTTACTTGGATAGGATACGTATAAAAAATTTTACTTGAAGCGATTTATTCTATTCGATTAGAAAAAGTTATTTAAATAACAATTTCCGGACCGCTTGAAAAAAATTAAGAAAAAAACATTTGAACTAGAAAAAATATATAGAATCGAATAAAAAAGGTTTGATGTTATCAAGTAAAAATTTAGTCCGTATATTCCATTTCTAAGCGTCTTTTTAGGGGTAAGCCGCTCGCCTAGTCACGGTTTGTCAAAATTAGTTCATACCATCAAATGAATAATGTAGATATCTCAAACCAGATAGTTAAAATATCTGTAACACGAGAATGACAAAAAAAGTTTGTATCCTATAAAAGCGATACTTACAGGATATTGATTCTGGTTGGCACCTGGTGGATACATGAAACCAGGTGGCCTTGGGGGTCCGTTTTGCATGAATTGTGGATGTGGCGGCATCGGCCTTAAGATTCCGGGTGGTAAAATCGGAATATGATTTAACGGTCGTAAGCCTGGAGGGGGGATGTTCATCGGAGGCAATCCGGGTGGTGGAAGTCTCGTGTTTGGGAGGGTATGCTGAAAAAAAATACCAAAATTTCAGTTATATACGTGAGTTAATTTACTTTCTAAACACAATAGATTCATTAAGTCAACAATTTAGTTGATGAGAAAGAAGTACAAAAGAAGTTTATTGAAAATCATTTTTTTTGCAAACTGGAATACCTCCTTACAAATTTAATGATTGTTTGTTATATTAATTCTAAAACCGGGAAAAGACAAAGATAATCCGGAATCATATAGACCAATAACATTATTTTCATGCATTTTTAAAACATTTGAAAGAATTCTCAAATTGAGAATGGAAATTTGGTTCAGGCGGCATAATATTCTACCAGCAACACAATATGGATATACACAAGGCTATGGAACCACGGATGCAGTAGTTCGTCTGACAACAGATGTTCAAATTGGTTTTTCTAATTCCATGACAACAGGTGCATTGTTTATTGACATAAAAAGTGCATATGACAATATTGATTTAAATATACTCTGTGATTAACTTGTGTTTCTTGGCATTCCAAAATCGATAGTTTGATTTACTATCAAACCTATACAAAGAGAGAAGTGTATCGATAAGAGTAGGCCACAATATTATTGGACCCAAGATCACATCAAAATGTATTCCACAGGGAGCTGTTTTAAGTCCACTTCTTTTTAATTTGTACACATACGATTTACACAATTTATGGCCTCCCAATATTGTTTGCTTACAATATGCTGATGATATTGTCATCTATTCACATAAGAAAACGTACAGTGAAAGCACTGAACTCAAACATATTATGTACAACTTGGATAGTTGGACTTGGTTAAATGGATTCAATATTTCGTACCAAAAATGTGCCGTAGTATTTTTTTCAAGAAAACACTCTATTAAACATCACGCTGTAGCCTTACATGGCAATGATATTCCAATTGTTTCGGAATTTAGATATCTTGGTGTCGTACTTGACAGAAAACTGCTTTGGACTCAACATATTAATTATACAATTGGTCGCTGCGAAAAAGGTATTAATTTTCTTAAAATGGTGTGTAAGAGATCGTGGGGTGGAGATCAAAACATTGCATTGAATTTTTATCGAGCCTATATAAGATCTATAATAGATTACTGTTGTGTGGTATATGGGTCAGCTAGCATAACCAATTTACGTAAACCTGATAGAATTCAATTTAAAATTCTAAGGATTGTGTTAGGATTGATGAAAAGCACTCCAAATGAAGCCGCCCTAGCTCTAGCATCTGAAAACCCACTCTCATTGCGTAGAGAATATCTGGCAAGCAAATATTTCCTAAACCAACATTATCGTGGCACTTATAATGCAAAAAATAATTAATGAATTAAATACAGCTGATTTAACATCTACATACTTTGTTAAAAAAACTCTTCACCACTCGCAAGAGAAATTATAACTTGCAACGAACTGAAGTTAATAAATTCCCCTTGTAATCTTATCTGGGAATCGTTGGATATACCACATCTAACAAGTGTTCTAGCTACAAATATTATTATCCCAAAATACCAAAACGAATTTTGCGACACATTTTTTCTTAAAGAAATCTTAAGTGGCTATTCAGATCACATTGTGATCTATACAGACTGGTCAAAATCACCAACATGTACAACCAGTGCTTACTTTGTACCAAAAATGAAGATTAAAAAATCATTTATTTTAAATAATTAATCCAGCATTTTTTCTGCTGAAGCATGTGCTATATACAAAGCCCTTGAATTGTGCTGTGAAAATCAGTGGAACAAAATTGTCATATGCAGTGATTCACTGTCAGTATTACACTCCTTACAAAACTTTAAATTCACAATCAATAGCAATATATTCATATTAGAAATTTTTCAACAGTTACTAAAACTATCAGATCCATATGGTACTAAATTTCTAGGGATTAAGGGACACTCAGATATTGTTGGCAATACTATTGCTGATTCTATAGCTAAAAATCCATTACAGCACCCACATATGGTGATAGAAGAATCTAACACATGTGACCTACTTGCCTATATCAAACAACATATTAAATTTAAATGGGACAGACAATGGATTCAGTTTGGTGAAAGCAGGGGCACTAATTTATACAAATTACAACCCACAGTAGATGTAAAACAATTTTACAAAGATGTTACACTAAGCAGAAACACAGTGTCAACTGTCTTAAGATTAAAAGTAGATCATGGATGTTTTCCGAAACATCTACACAAAATAGGAGTTCTCCCAACAGACCGATGTAAGTGTGGAACTAGTATAGCTGATTTAAATCACATATTCTTCAACTGCCCACTACATCGTAATACAAGCACGTGGCTGATAAAATAATTGATAAAAGAGGGATTAAGTACACCATTAAACGTAAATCTCCTATTAAGTGAAGAAAATATAAAAATTTTTAAAATAATTATGATATTTCTTGTAAAAATTAAATTAAAGGTATGAGTGTAAAATTGATCGTATGTTTGAACATTTCTTTTGTATGTTACCATATATGTTGCCCACCTAACTAAACGTGGTTTATGTCTTGTTTGTTACAATAAAGCCGCTCTGATGAATCCCTGAGCGTGAAAAGTGTCCTCCTTGTACAATCCTGTATGAATGAATACTAATATTTATATGTAATTATGGCTAAAGGTTTCAAGCCAAAGCAGAAAAAAGAAAAGAAAAAAAAAAAGGAAAAAAAAAAGTTAACAACATATGGTTTTTTTTTTAGTCAAACAGGGAAAACTTTATATCTCGACTAACAATATAACAATATCAATATGACATAGACTTGTAAGAAGTGGCAATGTTTGAAGACATGAAATAAATAACGTGGTGCCAACAAATCTCATTTTTATTTTATACCTTTAAAATGTTCCAAGTACCATAACCAACAACCTATAATATAATGCGCTAAGTCGCCGCGTTATTATTATGTACTTAAACAATTCTCAATAGAGTGCGTGTTTGTCAATTGCCACAACGTCGCAGGTGGTAAAGTCGCAAAAATGTGGTAAGTGCCACATAAATAAATGTGACAGTTTCAGTACTGTTTTGATGTTGTATTAGTAAAGTTGTTATTGTTTATCTTACTCTGTATAAACTTAAAATCATATAAGAATGAATGCTGGTGCTAGTTCTAGAAAGGGTAATAAGCAAAAGGAAAGACAGAAAAAAAGAAATGCTGGAGAAGAGTACTATAGAAAGAAAAATAATAAAAAAGTTAATGCCAAGCAGCCTCCTGAAAATAAGGTTAGTCGAATATTGTTTTTATTTTTGGGCAGTAGATATTCTGAAATTTTGTTTTAATTAACTAATTTTATGGTTTGAATGATAATGTACGGCAAAATACGTATGTTACGAATTTTATCCATGTGTATGCTATCAAGAGAAGAAGGCACAGAAATAATGAGAGACCAGAAGAGAGTAAGAGACAGATTACGCTTTCCTTCACATTGCCCAACGGAGAAGGTAATATTTTACAGGTGTGTAGGAAGACATTTTGCGCGGTGTTTGAAATAACTCCAAGACAAATTGAAACATTAGCTAAGTTGAAAAAAAGGAGATTCAGTTTATAACGAAAAGAGAGAAAATAAACTGCAGTTTAGAAAGTTCATGCCGGAAGATAGAGCATTGGTTATAGAGCACATAAACCAATTTTCCAGAGACGTGGGACATTACAACCGTTTAAAAATCGAGAAACAGTATCTGAACTCCGATATCAATATAAATAGACTTTACTTGCCGTTTAAGGAAGCTCATCCTGATTTAGCAGTGAGCTATCGTTTTTACTTTCAAATTTTCAAAAAAAAATTCCCAATGTAAGCTTTTGTAAGCCTAGAACGGATACCTGTGCTACCTGTAATTTACTGCACATGCAAACAAAAGATCCCACACAGAAAGATGCTCAATTTAAGTTAGAACTTCACCACCGAAAAGCTGAAGTGGCAGTAGAAGCAATGAGAAAAGATCATCAGAATTGTCAGCAACCCACGAGTGACACCATGACAGTTTCTATCGATCTACAGCAGGTCATAGTCAAATGTATTATATGCGACAGCTTTCCAACTACAACCTTTGTGTTCACTTTGGGGACAATAACACTGGCTTCATGTTTTTGTGGCATGAGGGTATAACAGGACGTGGAGGGAATGAAATTGCGTCGTGTTTGTTGAAAGCATTCACTAATATACAGACACAGAAACGAAAAGTAACAATTTGGAGCGACAACTGTGCAACTATGAGTTGCGACAGGGATTTCGCCCAAATTGAAAAGCGAAAAAAGCAAGAGAAGTGTGAGGTACCTATGGATTTGGTAAGAATGATGACAACAGCTGTAAAGAAAATACCATTTCTTGTTACATCAATGAACCGCGAGCACTTCTTCGATTTTAAAGTTGCTTCTGAAAGTTCAATCAGTACATCCAAGTTTCAATTTTCAAAAGCTCAATTGATTAACATTAACTGACAAAATCCGGGATTAGTTCAAATGCGAGAAACTCTGGATGAATTGGAAACTTGGAAATCAACAAAGGTTTTAAAGAGAAATGTTACAATTACTCTTTCTAACTTGACCCGCCAGAGTAGAATTTCTGAAGAAAAAAAAAACAAAACTTGTTAGCAATGGTTCCATATTTAAAGAAAAAAATTGAAAATTTTATGAAAATAGAAATGATTTTATTTAATCCCAATACTCCTTAGAACAGTAGTCGCCCATGGACGTATAAATAAAGATTTGTTATCTTTGTTTATACGTCCATGTAGTCGCCAACCTCTTCAATGTGTTGAGCTACTTTGTTAATTTTGGAATAAACAGCGAGCTACCCACACGGAAGCCACGTAACGCAACGTAAATGAAATAATCCACAGTTAATCTATCATTATATGTATTTATTTTACTGTTTAACTGGTAATACATAATAGATAGGTACTAATAATAAACTAATAACAAAATAACTAATATTACTAGTACGTACTTATTCATAGCTACATTCCTACCTATCAAACGAAGGTATTTGAAAAATAAACACAAGCTTTTATCCAGCCACAACGGCAGGTCACGTATGTTTAAAAATAGTTAATAATAACAACAAAAAAGTAACGCACTATCATAAACATGAACACTGAAAAATAAAAAAGCACGTTCAATGAGAAGGCTGACACTTAGACTCATCGATAATTTTTTTAATGTTTGCAGTATAATTTGATGAAGCCATTCGAATACAATCATCCAAATGTTCATCTGTAAGTCGATTGCGATATTTGTTCTTAATAAACTTCATATTGGAAAAAGAAGATTCACACAAATAGGTTGAACTGAAAAACGCTTTCACTTTCAAAGCAACACGGCATATAACTGAATATTTGTCTTTACTTACAATAGGCCAGATACATTCAGTACTTGAGACTAACGATTTTAAGGCTAAATCATTTTGAAACTCAATGACTTCTATTTCTGTTGCAGCGATGTCTTCGCCAAAGTTCTGCATAACACAAGCTGCAAACTGCTGAATATCAATTTTCATAAAGGGTGAAACAACAAACTGCGCTACTAAAGCCATTTTACTGAAATCCTTAAAACGATTTTTGAAGTTACTCTTCAGGGTAGAAATTATTTCTACATGATATTTTTTGTCATAGGGTTCTAATGGATTTTGAGATATTTTTTCTGAAAGAATAGGAAAATGCTTGGAATCGCTGTTAATTAGGTTTTGTTCCCAAAACTCCAGCTTTTTGATAAATGCTTTTATATCAGAAATCATTTTCGCTAGTTCTTTGTCTCTCCCCTGAAGCTGCAAATTAAGTTCGTTTAATTTCTCTGTAATGTCCACGAGAAAACCAAAATCTCTAAGCCAGATTGAATTTTCTAGTTCCGGAGTCGGTTCATCGCGTTGCTTGAAAAATTGAACTATGCCAGATAGGACATCATTAAAACGTTTCAGCACCCGTCCTCTACTTAACCATCGGACTTCAGTGTGAAGGAGTAGGTCCCCGTATTGACAGTCAAATTCATCGGCCAAGGTTCTGAATAATCTTCTTTGTAACGCTTGAGCTCTAATCTTGTTCACAATTTTTACCACCAGTTTCATAACGTTGTTTAGTTTCAGGAAATTTCCGCATAATGCTTGATGATGGATAATGCAATGGTAACAGAGAAATTGCGATAAAAGTTTCATCTTTACGACATAACGCCACCAGACTCTTATCACAACCCACCATAGCAGGAGCGCCATCGGTTGTCAAGCCTACCATTTTCGATATTGGAATTTTCTCGGAAGAAATAATATTTTTTAAATGAGAAAACAACTCCTGTCCAGTAGTGTTCTTTCAGTGGAATGAACTTTAAAAGATCTTCTTTAATCATAAAATCACTAAAAACCATCCTGACGAACACGGCCATCTGGGCAGTGTCAACGACATCTGCTGATTCATCCAGTTGAAGTGAAAAATAAACACAGTTATCTAAGTCAGTTCTTAACTGTAAAAAAATATCATTGCTCATTACTTCTACACGTCTCATTACTGTATTAGCAGAAAGTTGCATAGATTTTATAGCTGAAACTATCTCGTCTTTATTTCTAAAGTTGGCAAATAACGAATCAGCAGCTTCCAAAAACGCCTGTTTTATCATTTCCCTGTCTTCATTAGGTTTCTTTTTTTGTGCAATTATCTGGGACACACTGTACGATGCTTCAGTTGCAGCCTTATTTTTGTCGACTGTTCTTAAAAATATCGATTGTTGTTCAATTAACTGTTTTTTTAACTGTTTCAGTTTCTTCTTTCTGGCGGCAAAATGTAGTAGGAATGATTTTTCAAAATTAGAATGTGCAGTTTTATGATGTCTCTCAATATTTCCTTTTTTAGCAACGGAGACCGAAGTATTACATAACAAACACACATTTTTATCTTTCAACTTCTGTAAAAAAGTATTGTTCTTCCCATTCCGAATGAAAGTGGTATGTCTTTACCTTCTTACAACTGCTTGCCATAATATTATTTTTGTTGTTCTCTACTAACCCAACCGCTGGACGTTGGTTACGCGTTCAGTTTTAAACTAAGCGCAATGTCGCCGCGCCGTGCGTATTTATCCCGTTCAAAGCAATCCAGATCGTTCTCGAACACTAAGGCGCTGGTCCGGCTGGTCGGTTCTATAAATAGCCGATTCTAGCTTGACGGCGTCAGGGACAGATCGCTCACCGCAACGTTGTCGCTGTTTATGTTTAATATTATGACAATTAGATTTTTTTGTGGAATTTTCTGAACCTTTTCTGATTTTTGCAGTTTGTATTTTTTAAATTAAAATCGTTGTGAGAGCTACCAGAATTGCCTCCGCGAGCTACCGGTAGCTCGCGATCGACAGGTTGGCGACCACTGCCTTAGAACCTAAATGTTTTGTGTTTTTCATTATTACTTACCCCAATATTTTATATTTTTGTGATGACGCTTAGCACATTCTAAGATTTTATAGCCGTTTTATTTTTTTACAATTATTTTACAAAAAGTTCACAAAATTATTTAATGCACAAAAACATAATTCACTTGAACAAACCTATGTTTAATTTTGAGAAAGTTAATTCTAATTCATTGTGTAAGAAAAAAATCGATTATTTCGAAATAATGATTTTGTCACTAACCACATTATTTATTTCAAGTCTTCATTTAATGAACAATGATTAAAAACTATGAGTACATAGATACTATCATTACCTGCAGCATCGGATGAAATCCATGCCCCTGATGATGGTGGCCGGGCAGAGGTAGAACTGGTCTGTGAACTTGCTGCTGCTGTGGTTGTGGTGGTAGCAACACAGTACTTGCAGCTGTTGAGCTCGGTACTGTGTTTTTACTTGTGTTAATAAGGCTCTTTTCCAATTCCTCGACAGTGCAAATTTTTTTAGGTTGTGCAGGCAATATTGGTGTCGGCGGTAGTAATGGTAGATCATGGTTTGAGGAGGGAGCATCGCTGTGGGATTCAATCTGCAAGGTAACAAAAAGATGTTGAAGAATGTATAGTACAACACGCCAATACTTACAAATGCTTTTGAAGCTTTCTGTAACGATGACAAAATAGAGCTGTTAAATATATCTCCATTTTTGGTGGAAGGTGTGTATGACCAAACAGAACTTGAGAGCGAAACACGGTCTTCAGGTTCATCATCAAGAACTAATTGTGATAAGGAGTTTTCTGGAAAATATAAAGTATTGAGGTTTATTCTACAAATTTCTTTTAATGGCCTTGGCATAGCCAATTGACCAGACTATTTATTCTACAAATGTGTGAAGGAGGAAAAATCGAAGCATGTGAAACAACTTTTATGTTTTAATATTGAACTAACTAGTATTTAACCTAACTGTAAAATAAATTCATCTTATCCTTGGGTTATTCCCTCTCCGCATTGCAACCTTAAACTTACAACATATAATAAGAATAACGTCAACCCCCAAATTTTTTAAAACTCGCTTTCGCAATATTCTCACATTTCGCACTATTTCGTATTTGTCACAAAATACAAAAATTACCATATATATGTAATTCAGTGGTAGAAAATAAACGTAAACCAGAAAACAATATAAAGAAACAGCCGTGGATGAGAAAAGAAATATTAGAGCTAATGGAAGAACGATGAAAACACAGAAATAAGAATGAGGAAAGGTACAAAGAAATAAACAAAATTATTAAGAAAAAGATTAGAGAAGCAAAAGAATCATGGCTACAAGATCAATGCATAGAAATAGAATCCCTAAAATAGAATCATGACACTTTTAACCTACATAAAAAAATCAAAAACTTAACGGGAGGAAACGGATCATGAAGTCATAACTTAATACTAGACGAGCACAACAATCTGCTCTAGGAAAATGAGAGAATACTTGAGAGATGGAGGCAATACATGGAAGAATTATTCAAGGAAGAACTAGAGTCAGAAGTCAGTGTGTCTGGATGTTCAGGACCAGAAATAACGCTCAGTTAAGTAACATATGTAATAAATAGACTAAAAACCAACAAAGCACCTGCACATGATAACATACAAGCTGAAATATTGAAACTACATATTTTCAGTTTCAATATTTCAGCATAATACAGAATTATAAGCTTAATGAGCCATGCATTCAAAATCCTTCTTTCTGTTATTCACTCTCGCATATACAGAAAACTTGAAAAAAAATTTAGCAGTGTTCAGTTTGGGTTTAGAAGTGGAATGGGAATAACAGAGGTCCTATTTTCCATACAAGTATTGATTCAAATAGATCGAGACGTCAATTGCGAAGTCTACGCATGCTTTATAGACTTTGAAAAATCATTTGACAATGTGCAATATCAAAAATTATTTCAGATACTGAAAGAATCTAATATTGATGAGAAAGATTTACGCCTAATTGTAAATTTATACTTACAGCCAATGGCAACTGTACGAGTAGACAACGAAACCTCACAAGAATTCACGATAAAACGGGAAGTATGTCAGAGCTGCATTTTGTCACCGATGTTATTCAATACTTACTCAGAAATGGTGTAGGAGGTGTAGGAAGAAAACAAGTTTCTTGGTTAAAAAACATTCGTGAATGGACTCAGATACCAAATGCAGGACAATTATTATTCCATATTGCAGAAGATCGAGAAGCCTTCACAATGGTGATCGCCAACGTCAAATAATTCTGATATGACACGCGAGGAAGAAGAAGATAAAAATCAATGGTGAAATCATAAACAATTTAAGATATGCGGACGATAAGGTTTTGACTGCTGATAATGCGGAGGATCTGCAAACATTAATAGACCTGTGACATATTGGGCATGAAATACGGCATAATACAGCACCAATTCACAGCTAATAATACACCCTTGAAAATAGTCAACAAAATTACATATCTTGGATTCAGCCTAAATAAGAAATGGAACCACTCACAGGAAATAAGATGTCATATAGAAAACGTGAGAGCTGACTTCAATCGCCTTAGGAAGATTTTATGTAATATGCACCTGAACATTGATATAAGAACACGAGATATTGTCTACCATTTTATATGCAGTCAAAGCCTGGACCTTGAGGGAGGCAATATCCAAATGATTAGAAGCCTTTGAAATGTGGCGCGATCGCTGCATGCTCAGAATGCAAAAGATCTGGAAATTATGTGTATCATGAAAATCAGAAAGATGACATACTTAGGGCATGTGATGCGCAATGAGAAGTATCAACTAATTCAACTAATTTTACAGGGTAAAATAGAAGGCAAAAGATCTCAAGGGCGCAGAAGGACATCGTGGTTGAAGAACATTAGACAGTGGGCAGGAATGACTACCATACATCTATTTAGAGCAGCTGTCAACAAAGTTGTATATGGACAAACGTGATTGCTAACATCCACAAAGGATAGGCAACAAAAGAAAAAGACAAAATTTACCATCATATATACAGCTCTAAAACCATAAATAGAGTAGGAGCAAGATTTTTGACATCACATGAACATTCCATCTATAAACTGTCTGCTGAGACAAGTATTTTTACATCAGAATTATTTCTCATACTTAAGGACCCAAACTTCTCTTAGATGTCTGACATAAATTTCTCTGATTAATTTACTTTTAAGCTATATATACTAAAATCATTTGGCAGTAGAGTTTCTATACTGGTACCGCCCCATGCTGGAATTGTTACGCCAAGCCCTTGCTACTCCCTTGATTGATTATATTATGTGACAATTCCATCTGCAGCTGTTTTAATACCATAGAAATTCTATTGGGTTCTTTGAGCGTTCTGAACAGCGAGACAAAGTATACATAAGAGCAATTTTAATTTTTAGAGGTAGTCTAAAATATAATTGTGTACAGTTAAATAAATAAATGTTATAAATTAATCGTGTTTTAGTGTTCCCGTTAGAGGACTACCTAAGTCCACAATAATCAGTAAAGCTGGTTCAGTGGAATATCTAACAGTGCATTTATATTTACTTAAAATCTAATTTAAAAACAAAATTAAAAACACAATGTTTGGTAAAAGCAATGAAATAGAAGCAACATCAAATTAATAGAAACACAATCATCTGGCCCTCAATGTGACAACATCAAGTCTTCATATCATGTCTCAGATTAGGACATATAGATGCAACTCATGAATACCTGCTGAAAAGAGAAGAGGAACCAATGTGTTTTGTTTGTGATAGTACAGTGACAGAGAAGCACATTTTGATTGACTGCTCAATATATGCAGATGAAAGACTACATCACCCAAAATTACTTTCAAAAACATTGAAGAACTACTAGGAGAATCCAAATACAGCTGACGTGGTAGAACTTTTAAAATGGATAGTATTTTAAAATGGATAAGTAAAAGAGATGAAGAAGGAAGCAAGAAACTACTTAGAGGAAGTAAATGATCTGAAGGATTAAATTAATTAGAGAAAGTTAAACAAGAAAGAGATATAACGATGTAAAATGTATTACATTTTGTATCTTGTTATGCTACTAACCCTGAGCGGTTGAAGCAAAATAAATAACAAAAAACTTTTCTGTTTTAGGGGTAGATTTAAAAATTGCTATTGGTTTTTATGATCTTAATACAAATTAGCATAAAGAATTATGAGCAGTGGAAAGACATGGAAAAGAACAGACAAGGACAGTTGAATGGAGAGTAAGAAAAAGTGAAGAAAAAATATAGATGGATGAAAAAAGATATGAGTAGAAGAGCGAAACAAGCAGGTGAGATGAAGAATGAGAAAGAAAAGAGTAACATAGAAGAAAGCAGCAAGAATTAAACAAGTCAAAAATAAACTTTATTTATAATAAAGAAATATACATAAAGTCTACCTGAAGAATAGCCTTAGTTGGTCATCAGAATATTGTGATGCATATTCAGCAATGTAAATCTACTAAATTACAATTGAATGGAGAGTAAGAGAAAGTGAGGAAAAAATATAGATGGATGAAAAAGATATGAGTAGAAGAGCAAAACATGCAGCTGAAGTGAAGAATGATAAAGAAAAGAGTAACATAGAAGAAAGTAGCAAGAATTAAACAAGTCAAAAATAAACTTTTATTATAAAATATATATTATTTAAAATAAACCATTATACCATTAAATTAACAATAAACAATTAAACAAATTAAATGAACAATTAATAAATTAAAATAATTTAATTTAACTAACTCCATCTTCCAAGTTGAAGATAAAATAACTATAATAAAAAAACTTGAACTTTGACTAATCATACAATTAAAAAAACTAAGCGTTTTTGGAATCTTCTGGTGGGGAAATGTTGCCATTGCAAGTAGAAAAAGAAATGACTAAACACCTCCAAGGTTTGCAGTCTTCTTTTTGGGATTATTTTCCAGGACCCAACAGAAATAAAAACTGGATAGCTGACCCTTTCAATGCAGATGTTTCAGATATCAATGGCTTGACAACAATACAGGAAAATAAATTAATAGAAATAGCATGTGATTCATCTTTAAAATGTCATTTCAAAGAATCTTTTTTATCAAGATTTTAGGTGAATATAAAAACAGTTTATAGGGAAATATCAGAAGAAGCACTGAATACATTTACTGATTTTCTCATCCACATATCTCTGTGAAAAGGGATTTTCTGCTCTTGTATATCCCAAAAACAAATACAGAAACAAACTACAATTGGAATCAGATTTGAGATTACAACTAAGTAAAAACATAAGCCCAAATATAACAAATTTAGTAGCCAAAAAGCAACACCAACCTTCATATTAATACCATATTTTTAATTTTCATAAAAATGTCTTTTTTCTATATAACCTCTACACTGATGACTGAACTCAGTTGAGTGAATGTGAATTCTAATTTACTCGATTCACTGAAGTTGTAACTATATAGTAAATTTAGTAAATAATAATTGTGTACTATATTAGTCAAATTTTGATTTCATGTTTTTTTCAACTCTTTCTACATTAGACTCCTTTTATTAATCATTTTTCTCCTTTTGTCAATGAAAGAAGTCTGCAAAATAGAAAGTTTATTTGAGCCATTAATAGTCATACATAATATGTAGAAATTTTTGTGTGATATGTTGCTGACAATGCATATCACAAATCACAATATTCCCAAACTCAGACAAAAAAAGATTTAAAAGCATGGGGAATCACAGAAGGATTAGAAATCCATACAAAGTAATTTAACATCTATGGATCTTTGCAGTATACATTACATGGTAGAAATCAATGCAAAATACTCAAATAAGTTATTGAGTATTTACAAAATATAAAACATTATTCATAAAGTCCTTATAATTTGGGAAATTTACAAAATTACAGCAAAAGAAACACAATGAGTAGAAAGGAATTGAAAATGGCATTCAATGACATATTAGACATTTTTATCAAATAAAAAAACAGAGGAAACAATGATTAAATGCCTAATAACTCATATGGGCACTGTTATAAGAAAATATGTTGTTTTGTACAAACCTATTTGCTCACTCTGTTTGGAACTTTCAGCAATTTCTGCATACTGTTCATGCTGCTGTTCCCAGTCATCCAAACTGGCAGTATCCTCAAGACCTCCAAATGTCTCATCATTAAGAGCATCATATTCTTCTTCATTATCTAAACAGTCATCTTCATCAGGTGGAAGCAAATTATCCCCATTCTAAAACAAATAATGACAAATTAAAAATATTTTATATCAAGGCTTTAACAGTAATATAAGTCATCACAGTGCAACATGTACATTTTATTGCCTAAATTAACAGGAAATTTGTCAACTAGCAAAATGAATCTATTTAAACTTTATTTGATTATTTCCTGACCTTTCGATGGCTATTGCCACAGTATATATATAATTGAACCGTGAAATAATCAAAATATAAGAAATAAACTAAAAAGCTGTAGAAAAACAATCAAAAAGGTTATTTTGAGAAAATCACCAACATTCGTCCTAAGATATTCTAAAGAATATTCTGGTGGTATGTTAATCGGATAATATTCTGAAGCAAGTGAATTTGAAACTTACGTTTAGTGTATCAAAGTCAAAAAATGAATTAGCCATTGAATTTTTCCGAAAATATCATTTCTTTCATATTGTCTGCACTGGACTGAAGTTAAACGCGAGTTGTGGAAGTTTCTTGTGGAGGTGTGAAGATAGCCACGCTTTCCAATTTTCCAAGACATATGAGCAAATATTTAAATTTAAGAAACAACTCTAAAATACAAAAAATATTAACTAGATACATATAACTAGTTGTTCTAACTAGATCCGGTCATTGTCCATATATCAATTAATATCCTAAGAACAACTATATGTAGGAATTTAGGTTTCAAAATACAATATCAACACCGTATAAATCAATAAGTGGTTTACAATATTCTTAAATTATAAATAAAAAAGTCAGAAACGCTAATAGTTTTTTTTACTTAATATTTTTTTTTCCTAGCCAATTGATTAATAATTGAAGAAGACGGAATTAGAATAAGAAGAAGAGTAGATCGTAAAAGTTTACGTCATTTACGTCACTCTAAAATGTCAAAGTCAAATATACTCTGAATACTATGTTTACTATTAAAAAACGACTAGAAATTTGATCAATTACCATTTTATAAAATACCTGACCTATAAATAATTTTCTATTATTTTCAGTTTAGTGAAGGTAAAATTTGTACCTTACTTGTTACACACGGAAGTTTTAACCTCATTTTGTGGAAAAAGTTTTTCAGGTGTAGCCTTAGAATGGATGAACCCATCAAATATGAAGAACAGGCTCAAGTTGCTTCATCAATTCCTCTATTTATAAAAAAGCTATGGAAAATGGTTAATGACGTAGATTCAGATAATATCATTAGTTGGAATGTTGAAGGAGACAGTTTTATTATACATGATCAACTACAATTCATTATCAAATTATTACCTCATTATTTTAAGCATAACAATATGGCTAGTTTTGTAAGACAATTAAATTTTTATAACTTTCATAAAGTTCAAAATGTAAATAACGAAGTGCAGTTTGCTCATGAATGTTTCATAAAAGACATGCCTGAAGTGTTATCATACATCAGAAGAAAAAACCCTGTAGTTAAGCAGAAATCAGTGCCTAATTTTAAAGAGCAAGAAGTACAAGGTCTTCTAAAAGACGTTAAAAGTTTAAAAGGAAAACATTCATTGGTTGATAAGGAACTTGCTATGCTGAAGCAAGAAAACCTTGCCTTATGGACAGAATTAAATTCACTTAGAGTAAAATATACCAAACAGTCAACCATCATCAACATGCTAATACATTTCTTAATTACATACATTCATTCACACCAAACTGCATTTACTAAACAAAACATAGATGCTTCTTCAAATACTCTTAATAGAAATAATATTAAAGTAGGGCCACAATTGCTAGAAATAGGTTATAAGAATCCCAAGAAGTCTCCTGCACAGAATCCATATACAGTTCTGCAACCAGGTACTAGTGATTCAGTAACATATTCATTGGAGTTGCCTGAAACTTGTGGGCCTGAAGTGAAAAGACAGAGGAGAAGTCCCAAAGGATTAGATGATCTAATGATGCAAAGTCAACCTGGATTTCCAGGAATGAGCTCATTAAAGAAGCCACAGAGATCTGGGATTACCTATTCCATTAAATTGCCAAGTCAAGCTGAGAAACTTATTCAACCTGACATTCCTAGGTGAGTACAGAGCTCTGTTAAAATTTTAATTTTATAATATTGTCACCTGTTGCAAGAAATACATATATCAGAATTGTTTAGTTACAGGTATGATATAATGTACCACCCAAGTGTGACACTGTTAAATACATGCATAGTCATTAAATTAATGAGTATTCAAATTAAATTTATTTAAAAAAAATCAATTAAATGATTTTTAAAAAAATAGCAAGAGTAAAATTACAAGAAACTTACAAAGAAGTAAAGACTTCTGATTATCATTGTATGTTTTATTATTAAAATATTTAAAATTTATTAAAAAGGATTACAAATATCTTCAAAACGTTTTCAGTCTAGTTGGAGCATTGTTTATCCAATAATACACAATATTGTTGGTTCTTGATAGTTTTACCTTTAAAAATAGTCAATTAAAATTATGTCTTTGAGTTTTCAAAATACAGTGTTCATAACCTTTTCAACCCATTTGAACTACTCTTGGCCACTTCGGAGCACGTCTGTTGGCTTCAGTCCAATGTCATGCATTCATTGTGTTTTCTTGTGTGTAGCACTAAATCCAGATTTCATCAAAGGTTACCAATTGACCCCAAAAGTCACACTAAATTGTGCTTGATAAGGTCAAAACGTCTCTGAGAAGTGTCACATTTCTGTGTCCCATATAACTTTTAATAAATTGTATAGATTTTCTGTTATTTTATCTCCATCATATTTTATAAGTTCCATATTTATGCCATCTGTACCTGGTAGTGTTGAATCAATCGTGAATAGTGATTCATTTGTTTTTATTAAATCACTTCAAAGTATTGAATGACCAAATCCCACTAGTTCATAACAATCCGATCGTATGGTGAAGAAAATCAATTGATCAATCCATGGAACCGAACATCCTATGGAACCATACCCTTAGTACTTTCGTCCTCAGTTGTTCCTCACTTGCAATGCAGTCCGATCAGCTGAATGAGTTCGTTTGCAATAGCGTGCAAGGCAGGAACTTAGCTACAGACCAGGAGTGTTGGAATTGGAAAATATTCTATTGGACCCCAACAAATACTTTTGCTTGTGTTGTTAATAGTTAGTGGGTAGATAAAATCATAAAATATCTATTTGCACGCCTTATAAACAAAGCTAGAGCGAGACCAAACGTTTAAATGACAATAAATATTTATATTTGGATGCAGCACATATTTCCATATGAATTTATAATTATTTCTGAGTTACACTAAGAACCTAAAAACAAAAATAATAAATTCTAGCTACTAGAATAATTTCTTAAGAAAATGTAAGAACTTAAATGTTAAAAAATGTTAAATGTTAAAAAATATATATTTAGGTGATAAAAATAGATATGATATTCCAATAATTTAGGCAAATGTCAATACACATATGAAGTACCGTAAGCAATACTCCAGATTTTTAGTCGATTCAGCTGAATCAATCGGTTACTTGTTATTTCTTTTAAACAACAACGAAAAGTATTGAAACGAACGAACAATTGAAATGATTCGATCATATTCGGACTCTGTTACTGATTGATTCGGTTCTCAAAAAATGAATGATTGACACAACAGTAAGGTAAATGTACTAGTAGTTGACATTATAAGAAAAAAAAACATTATTTAGCCTCAAACCAATGTAGTTGAACTTAAATAAAAAATATATGTATATTCAGGTAATCTAATCCTTCCTGAATATTTAACAAATAAATTTTTGGACAATTCTGCTTTCTAAATATTTTTTATAAAATTTACAAAAATTGTTGCAAAAGTGCGACTAGTTGACACAACAAAATGAAAAAAAATTAGTAGTTGACACATCCAAGGTTTAGTAATTGACACCCAAATATATTTTGATAATTTTATTAAGAATATGTAATTACAGGAGAACTTTAATGTTAGCCATCCACATCCACTGAATCTGGAAACTGATACTTTATTCTTTCTCCTGAAATGAGTATCTGAGGTTGGGGCATCCTTTTTAGGATTTGATGAAATGTTATTACATCATGAATCACATCTCTATCATTAATTTGAAATGAAGTTTTACTGTCATCACAATAATTCATACCCACAACTTCTGCTTCACAATTATTGAAATTTTTTTTGCATTACACATACAAATTTATATTCTTTTTTCTTTCCAGGGAATTTTGAAAGTAAATAATCCCCCTCCATATAATTTACATGATCAGTATCCTTATCACTGCAATCACCTACTTCAAAAGATATATCATCCAGACTGCTACCAGATTCAACCCATGATTCATTATTATCACTTGATGATTCTTCCTTTTTCTTACTTACTTTTTTTTGTCACTTTTAGTTTCTGTTTTTTAAAAAAGTTTTTTTCTTCTCTTTTCTTTTGCCTCTCTTCTGCCCTTTTCTATTTTTCTTCTTCTTTTTCCACTCTTCTTTTTTTACTGCGGATACTCTGGGTTCAGGCCAAAACAGTATTCGCTTAAAAGGAGAGGTGTAGGTAATTCTTCAATTGCTGAAGATGGAACTTGTGATTGTGTTGATGAAGAAGCACAAGTGTCTTGAATAATAGCAATATTGTTATGTTGAAGATTTTTCCTAGTGGGACTAGTGTGACCTTCCAAAACATCCGAAATGTTTCTACCTGTTTCAGCCTCAGATTGGTTTAATAACTCACCTATTTCATACTGTTCTTTGACTGGCTTATCAGGTTTGTTCTCTACGTAAATGTCTTCAACATTAGGGCTGTCTTCAACATTTGGTATGCTCTCAATATAAGTGGCATCTTCAATAATTTTGTGTTCATCATCTGGTTCTTTCGCGCCTTGTTTCACTTTTAAATTGTTTATTTCTTCTTCTAAAAGACTGTATTTTATGCAAATGTTTTTGTAAAAGTGAAAGAGAGATAAATCTTCATTGTCATTGTTCCATTCTAGGCTTGTTTTGAAAAGAGCTAGTTTTTGTTTATCAATATGTTTCTCTATAAAGTTTTTCCCTTGTTTCATTTCCTGCAATTCCTGCATTTTCTTTGAAATGTCTATTTTCTCATTGTGAAACATAATCGCACCAACATCCTAGGGAACTAAGCCACATTTTCGGAAACCATTTTTTAAAATTGATGGTACTAAACCTTTCCTCTAGAACTTTTTTTAAAAGAGGGCAGAAGTGAATTTTCCTTAAAACTGGGGAAGCCTGATTCTCAATCTGCCACTGGTGTACTGCATCTTTCGAACCCCCTTTCAAAGAATGAAATATAGCAACATCCATTGGCTGAAGCAAATGTGTTGCATTTGGATGAAGGGCTACCAATATAATACCATGTTCAGTGCAAAATCTACTAGTGTGTAATGTTAAATGTTGCTGAAACTGGCTTTCCACATAGAACTTCCTCAATAGCTTTCTCCATAGCTTCTTCTGTATATTGGAACATTTGCCCTTTTATAGGAGGCATATTGTTAACTGAAATTTAAAATAGGTGAAGAAATAATAAATAAGACTTACTCACAATCAATTTAATTTAACTATCAGACGACCGGTTTCGCTTTCTACAATATGCAAAGCATCTTCAGGTCTCGATACAAAGTTAAACAAATGCTGAAATGATAAAAACCCATATTAGGGTGTTATCTAATAAAGATAAACAAATTAGATGTTATAAATTACAATAATTATGCCAATATTACATGTCTGTGGTTTTATTTAAATGATTGAGTTGAATAAAAGGTATAAAAATTTTTTTAAGAAGGCTCTATTAATAGATGGATGGTAGAACATGTTTGAAACTACTTTATATTGTTGAATGGAGAACTCAATACTATTATTGTTGTTGTTGCACTGTCAAACAACTGCAATAATAGTATTGACAACAACAACAATAATAGTAGGTATTGAGTTCTCCATTCAACAATATAAAGTAGTTTCAAACATGTTCTACCATCCATCTATTAATAGAGTACCGGCATGTAAGTAATTTTTATTTTATTTATTTATTTGCTCATTTATTAATTTATTACAATAGAAGAGATTTTATAACAATTTGTGGCCTTACCTTGTCTTTTTAACCTTCTTAAAAAAAATTTTATACCTTTTATTCAACTCAATCATTTAAATAAAACCACAGACATGTAATATTGGCATAATTATTGTAATTTATAACATCTAATTTGTTTATCTTTATTAGACAACACCCTAATATGGGTTTTTATCATTTCAGCATTTGTTTAACTTTTTTTAACTTTTTTAACTTTTTTAGTAGTTGACATCCAAAGTGTTTCAATAGTTGACATAGTGTCAACTACTAGATAGAGTGGATACATTTACGTGATATTTAAAATATAAGTGTACACATTATATACAATGAAAATAACAATAAAATATTAAGTTTTACAGTCTCAGTATAAATGGTTAGTAGTTGACACCTATGTCAACTACTAGTATTTGTGTGTATTTGTGTATTAGTAATTATTGACACCTAGTCTAATTTTTGTTTTGAGAATAAAACAAACTTAAAACAGCAAGATGTTACCTTAATATTCATATAATATATTGATATATCTAAAACTACAGTCATTCACAATTTAATCAATAAATATTAATTTTTTTAAACTTACGTTCTTAATACTTTTGTTTAGAAAACTTGTTGCCACTTGAAGTTCACACAACACTCTGACAAAAATTTGGTGGGAATTTTCTGTTTCAAGGTTAAATAATTCTACAGTTACAGAGAAGATGTATAGATGACACTAGTTAACTATGATGGTAATAATTACATTAAAAATAATTGGAAAAGCTTATTATTTATGCTTAAAATGGAAAATGTCAACTACTGGTACAGTGTCAAGTACTAGTGCATTTACCTTAGTACCTGGAGTTTTACTGTTATGGTACTATTTATAATTTCATAAAATTGATATCTCCTTGACTTTTCTAGCAGGTTTCGTATCATCATAATCTAATCTTTCACATTTTCATTTAGGTCTTCATCCTCTTGTTCTGTTAATAATTCTTTAAAATAATCAGTCCGAATTTCTCTAAACTCTTCTTCAAAGCTTTCAAAAAGTCAGAAAATAATCACAATTATTACAATTTACTGAAATTACATAAATCATCAAATATCACAAAATAAAATATGTTAAAATAGACAATCCATTGCAAAATCCAAGAATCATTCTGTCTCCGGCTTCTATACAACATGTAGCTTCTCCTTAAAATTTTAAAGTGTTTGTTTGTCTTTGTGTATTGTATTTTGTATTGTTATGTCCAAATTTTACATTTATGACATTCTACTCATGTCAGGATAGGCCACAATTGACGAAATGCCCCTGAAGATGATCTATTGATCGAAAGTACTTGGGCAAGATTAAATTAATCACCATGTTCGATAGTTGCCTTGTATACCCTCAAAGTTTAATTATTCGAACATTCAACCTTATATTAAGATATATATTTATTCTTCTCTCAACAGTTTCTGCATAATTTGCTCTGAGGAGACCTAATAAGATTGAAATACATATAATCGGATTGGAGGAGCCACATTTTCAATATTTTTTTTCTTAATATTTTAATCATGTACACTTACTTTTCCCCAACTAGACTGTTTCGTGTCTTCCTAAAAAATGATTAGCTTATATCTTCTTATCTTTTTTAGATCATTACTGGACATACTAAAGCAGAATGAGCAACTATGTGAAGATGAAAATGACGAGATAACAAATCTTCAGGCAGCAGAGAATTTAATACACCTAAAGGAAGAACCTGATGATTTACAGGACGATATGATGACAGACGACGAATCTGATATAGACAAATATTACACAGTTAGTTATCCTTCTGAAAAGTCAGTAAAAGAAGTTATACCCGAAGAACAGATAGCAGCAGAGAGTCCATACGATGGACCATTAATAGAGAGTCCGCAAGAGAGTGTAGTTGACCAAGGAACTCAAGTTTTTTCTCCTTCAGATATTCCTGTGATTATTTCACAAGAAGTACCTATCAAAACACCTTCTGGTAAAGCTAACTTGACCATTTCTTATCCAAATTCACAAAACTTGAACCAGAACTCAAACAAAAAGAAAATAAAGGTATTCGACCATGTATTTATACCAAACAAACCAAAAACTTTATTAAAGGGAACCTCTAAATTGAAGTCTACTGTAACTGCCCCAAATACAGGTAAAATCTTACCTTCAAAAGTTGTGACATCAAAGTTATCAAGAAGGTTGTCGTCTCAGTCTAATGATATTGAAGCAGCCGAAGGAACTCTGTTAGAAATTCTAAAAGAAAATGAGAAACTCACTAAAGATAATATAAAGAATCCAACTAGAGCCAATTATAAGCGTTCAAATTTGGAGAAATTAATAAATTCTGATGCAAATATGGGCAACTCTTTTAATGATTACTTCATAACTGGTAAGTCCTACATATTTGAGATATATAGAAATACATTTACCTTCCTTCATAATTTTCTTTTACTGTAAAGTGAGATGAATTAATATAAAATAATTTTTAAATTGAACATAAATATACAAAGGCAAGATTAAAAGATCTCACCAAAGTACTGTGCAAATGAGTTTTTTAGTTCACAAATGCTCTTATTTAATAATAAAATCTGTCTTTAGTACAATACACTTTGTCTTCTTCTGATGTCCTAGGTTTACAGTGTGTAGACATTCATCTACATTTTTGTGGAGTCTGTTTGTTGGTTCTGTGGAGTGTGCCTATTCGTCGGCTGCTTTCCTTAATAGAGTCTCAACACTCCACACGTTTCTTTTACCTCGATGCGATGAGGATTGTTTGCAGTCGAGGCCCTCTTTTGTTCCATATTTTCCACATTATAGTTATACATTTCAACATACGAATCGCAAACCTAACTAACATAGACTGTTCTCAACTTCATACTGCAGATAATATCAATAATAAATAGTCTTAAAATTAAATTTATTTTGTAAACTTGACAAAATTTAAAAGTGGATTTACTGCTGTACTGCCATAAATTGAGTGTATAGTCGCCTTGTATTTCGGTGAGGCTGTGTAAAAAAATATTTAGCTGTAATAAAAACAGGCAATGAAAATTAAAATAAAAGTACTCTACCAGGAGTAGTTATTAACTGCAAACTCATCAATGACTGAGATGTATAATAATACAAAGTTTTAATATTCTCATCGATATTTACATTCAGATGTAACTGGTATTATGTTTGAAAATATGGGCAGTCACCCAGTTGAAGTTTTCATCGAACTGTTAAACAGCCCACTTGGAGCAAGAGCCAATGAAAACATCGAATATCGCTATTAAGACAAATCTTAATGCGTTTTCTAGTATCGGCAGACTTATTCAGCCTTCGGGTAAAATATAACAATATTAGCCTGAGCGACTGAAACCATAAAGTATTTTAATATTGTTCTGAAGCTATTTTCTTGTGGCATTGTAAATTAATTACTATTAAACTGGGAATAAGCCACAATTAAAGATAAAAATACGTTTATTGACGTTTCAATTTCCACTTCGGAAATCGTTTTCAAAATACAAACAGTAAATTAAACAAATTTTGTTTTTTGTTACATAGTGAAAAATTCTTCTAATAATTTAATTTTATCTGACTCATTTATATTGACAATTCAGACATACATTATGCATTTTAAAGTAGACGACTTTAAAATGATATTGCCAATATTGTTGAGTTGCGCTCCTGGGACGACTTTACTTATATAAGATAGTTCATTCGATTACATGAAATCAACTTTAACTTGAGAATATCCGTCAGAAAAAAATCATAGCATGTAATCCGTCTTTAAAAAGACAAACACATGACATGATGACAGTAAAATTCTCCTGTTAGTGATTCCATAGTAAATTATGAGGGAAAACCATAATATAATATAAAACCATAGTACCATGAATTCTCCTTGTAGTGAACTATCAAAATTTTTATTAAATATTTTAAAACCATTTACAAATAAAAATGACACATTCATAAAAAATACACATTTTTTAAATAAATTATCAAATATTGAATTTAATTCAAATCATACTTTGGTAAGTTTTGACATAAATAGTTTATTTACGAATGTGCCATTAAATAAGACTTTAAGTATAGTCAAGACAAAATTAGAGAGTGATGATTCATTGGCAACTAGAACAAGACTAAACATATCGGCTATAATTGAGTTATTAACATTATGTACTGATAATACATATTTTCAACTAAATAATGAATTCTATAAACAAAATTTTGGTCTAGCAATGGGCTCTAATTTATCTCCATTCTTAGCCGATATATTTATGGAAGATTTTAAAACAAATATAATTTCTAAACAAAATTTCAAACCCACAGTATGGTGGAGGTATCTCGATGATGTATTCTCAATATGGCCTCATGGATCAGAGTTGTTGGACACATTCCTAAATGATATAAACGATAAAGAAGAGACAATAACATTTACCATGGAAAAGGAATATAATAACACGCTACCTTTCCTGGATGTTTTAATCTCTAAGAACGATACTGGATATGACACTCAGGTGTATAGAAAACCAACACACACCAATAGATATTTAAATTTCAAATCAAATCACAATATTAATGTTAAAAAGGGAATAATTAAATCCTTATATGATAGAGCCAAAATTACTTAAAAAAAAAATTGTTTAAAATCCTTTATAATTTTTTTTCCAAAATTACTTGTTCTAATGAAAATTCGTTCTTGGAGGAGAAACATTTGTTAACATCTGTTTTATTAAAAAATGATTATCCTTTATCGTTTATAAATAAGGAATTTTCAACAATCAATCGAATAGAACAGAACAACTTAGAACGAGATCCTACAGCATACACAAGGAATAATATGAGGAAAATAACAATACCGTACATAAAAGGACTATCAGAAAAACTTAAAAGGATAGGAAATAAATTCAACATTTCAACAACATTCAAAACAACAAACACGTTGAAATCTATTTTGTCCAAAACCAAATCTAACAATGAACAAGAAAGGACAAAGAATTGCATTTATAAAATACCTTGTGAATGCGATCAGTTTTATTTAGGTGAATCATCAAGGCTATTAAATGTTAGAATAAGTGAACATCAATCTTATATTAAAAATAAAGAATTTGATAGATCTCAAATCTGTAAACACGCATGGGATAATGAACATACTGTTCAATGGAATAATTCAAATGTAGTCCTAAAAGAAACGGATGGTAAAAAAAGAAAAATCAAAGAAGCTGCTCTAATTATGCTAAATGAGGCCAAATGTGTCGCAAATTCCTCGGCAGAATGTAGTAGGATCTGGTTACCAATATTGAAAAAGGAAGTTATTAATAAGAAAATACCAGTATTAGTAAGTCAGTAACATATAGAGGATACATCATTTATGTTTTTTAAATATCGTAACATATAAAATCAGAATTTTGATGTTTGTTGAAGGTAAACTAAATTCACGAACAAATACTTAAAATGTCGGGATAGTATTATGAGGTTTTTTTCCTGGTTTTCCCTCATAATTTACTATGGAATCACTAACAGGAGAATTTTACTGTCATCATGTCATGTGTTTGTCTTTTTAAAGACGAATTACATGCTATGATTTTTTTCTGACGGATATTCTCAAGTTAAAGTTGATTTCATGTAATCGAATGAACTATCTTATATAAGTAAAGTCGTCCAGGAGCGCAACTCAACAATATTGGCAATATCATTTTAAAGTCGTCTACTTTAAAATGCATAATGTATGTCTGAATTGTCAATATAAATGAGTCAGATAAAATTAAATTATTAGAAGAATTTTTCACTATGTAACAAAAAAACAAAATTTGTTTAATTTACTGTTTGTATTTTGAGAACGATTTCCGAAGTGGAAATTGAAACGTCAATAAACGTATTTTTATCTTTAATTGTGGCTTATTCCCAGTTTAATAGTAATTAATTAATAAAGTATTTTATCAGAAAATATCCCGTTTCGACCGCTCTGTTGTGTACACTTGTGTACAGATTTTGCGAAACAAGAATATTTTTATTATAACCATAACTAATACAGCGTTCAGTTAAATTCAAATGGAGAACTGCAAGTGAGTTTGGTTGTGACTTCATCAGTGTTCTTTTAAACTTCTTTTACCATTTTACGAAGATACTTTTAAAAGGTGGCGTCCATAGTGTGATAATAATTCTGCAGCTGAAGAGCCAGTGGAACACTCTAATCAATTGGAAGATTTACAAAGCTGTGTTCTGAATTGTATAAATCAGTGGCAATTGCAGAAACGCGTTTTTTTACCAAGAGTGTCCAAAGCAACCTGCTACAAGATTATAGGAGAAACATCTTCTAGACAAAGAAGAAAGGATTGTGGCAAATTCAGACAAATAGAACCGCACTTAATTGAACCTATAACTAGAACAATATACGAAATGTATGCCGCTAATATTTTTCCAACTATTGAAAGGCTTCCAAGTGAATTTGTTCGAAAGGACATTCTCTTATGTTCAGCAACAACACTTTGATTATTTCTTAAAGCCAATAATTTTAAGTACAAAACTTTAGACAAGCGCCAGACACTAATAGAAAGTAGTAGAATAATTTCTTTGAGAAATAATTATATCAGACAGATAACTTAGCATCGAAAAATGAAACGAAATAATGTTTATTTAGATGAGACCTGGTATGATACTCATGATACTGTCAAAAAAAGTTGGACGAATAATAAAAAAAAGTGGTCTAATTTAGTACCGCCCAATAAAGGACAAATAATTATAATTTTACACTACGGTGGAGAAAATGGATGGATCGACGATGTGTTATTCATAGAGAGATATTGCAGAGTCAATTTTGCACTTGCTGTATTACAGCACGCGTTATTTTGACAGTAGAGCATGCGCAGATGTGATATTTGGCTTGCGCTGCCTTATTGAAAATACGGCCTGCCGTTATTAGGGGAGCCGTTACGCTGTGCGGAATTCGTTGCGCTATTTTCTTTCTCAGGTTATGTATGTTGTTTGTCTTTCATTTAAACCAAGTTTATTTGTAATAATTTTCTAAAATGAGTACATCATAGTATAGCATAATGCAAAAATATAATTAATAATTTGAGATAATGATTGAGGTGACAAATTGAATAAAAGCTGAAGATCTTTAAGCCTGCTGGAATATGCAAGCCTTCTCATCACTCCTAAAAACAAAAATATAAGGGCTTAATTTCAAAAGTAATGTAGAATGCAAATTCATTTACCACTAATAACAGGGTTTCTAGTATTGGTATGAATAAAATCTGGTAGGCGTAAAGCCCTTGCAAGTATAGGAATATCTTGTCTGCTAAACCTAAAATTTATTTTTACATCTGCTTCCAACATGTTTTCTAAATTAAATTCTTAATTTTGTGGATGTAATACATGTTCACCCACAATGTTAATTAAAAC